GGGCTGAAACGCAAGGCCCTGGGGAAATGGCCGAAATGGGGTTTCAGCTCTGACAAACCCTGGAGATTCTTGTCAACATAAAAGAGCGTGTTAAAGAAGAATTCCACAGATGAGACAACTAACGAAAACTGGAATGTAAGCGGGGTGCGGTAACGCTTGCTTCCTAGTTGTTGCTGCTGATAAAGCTGACATGATGGGGAAACGGTAAGTTGCCGGATCGGCAGCCACGCAGTTTCTGGCGTTACCACTTATTGATAGGTGCTCCAGCGTAGGGACTGCTGTATGTATATGAACAACGAAAGCCGGTCTTCAAAACAGCAGTAGAGCAGTGCGGGCTAACCCTATATACTATACTGCTTTACACTGTGGCAGACAATAGGCGGCAGGCTTTGAATAGCACACGATAAACAGAGTGAAAATAGTGAAGTAGCTTTGGGATTCGTAGTGGTTTATTTGCCTCTCTGCGTGCGCCTCATTGAAATGGCATGGTGACTTCAAGACTCGACGGCCGCTTTGATTCGGTTTTGGTCGTCTGCCACGTAGGGCGAATAGGCCCAAAGACAAGCAGGGAAACAGAAGTGGTTTTTTCTGTTGGTGGTGATACAGCCCCAGACAAAACGTCCCCTCCCCAAGAAACTAAACAACGATATATGATAAAAAGCCTAACTGGAATGAATAACACATAAGTGATACGTAAAAAAGCAGACATTTCGCCGGAACGACAACATAACCCTAGACGTGCATTTCGACTAAACAAGCAAAAGATATGACCGCCTTCGAAAGGGGATATACTGACATAATGACGCTATATCATCCTGATTTGGTATTAGAGAGGAAAAAAATGGGTGAGAAGGTGTTTGGATACGCGGACAAGATAAGCAGGACAAATTACAATAACAGCAATTAAGCGAAGGATTGAGGTACCAGTGTACATCATACGCTGCAAGCTGATTATTGTAGAAGGATTGTCTTTCCTAAGAAGAGAGAGACGAAGCAGAACTTCGCTAGAGAATTTCGGTAGCGTCTATTATGTGGATAAATATTTAAGTATTGATGAGCTGGCTGAAACTCGCGAGGTAAATACTCAAATTTCTGTTTTATAAGCTCATGCATTGAGGTAACCTCGACGTGCGTTCGTGTGTTTGCTTATATTGTATGTAATCGCTATGCTACAATTGTATGTTTGCAGCCCTACTGTATGGATATTGTATAAAAGCGTTAAAATGCATCGGCATTTTTGAAGTCTGCCATGGCGGTCAAATAGGTAAGGCAATGTTAGGCCGATAAGGTTTTTAGCCGTGATGTAGACGCTGAATAATTTCAGCTCTGCGTAAAAAATTTAGAAGTAAGATTTCAAAACGATATCTATCCGATATGTCAGATCTATGATGTTTATCTGAGCTGTTATTGCTGATTGAAAGCAGTCCAGGCATTTAAAACTTACGTTGCCACAAAAAAATGTGAAGCAAACTATCGTTGTTTACGGCATTAAGGGCTGTATCATTCTTAGTTCTATCTAGAGAAATGAGTCCAAGCTGACTCCCAGTACGAAAAGAAGTCTGTCTCTGCCGGGCTCAAATCTAGACCACAATGGATCCCTAAGGTTTGCAGGCAAACACATTACTCGCTATTACGGGGGACAAGCAGACATTCACCGTGCTAAGTCAGTTTCTGTTAGGAAACTTGCCACAGAAAACCTGCCCAATCTCTTCTCTGCGAAAAAAAAAACGTGTAATTTTCGGTGAGATCGAACGGAAGCGAACGCATAGAATGAAATTCCGCTAATTTAAAAAAGAAGTTTCGACTTACGGACGTGCTACAACAAGTGGACTTGTGTATTTCTGTGTTTTTTGAACGATCGAACCGCTAGAAAGGACCCTTAGACAATAATTCAAATTTCACAATCAATTCGTTTGGCGAATGGCAGCGAGCATCTGGATTGATGCAACATTTGTGGACTGCCGTATTGATGTACGCTCGGATGAAATAATAACCGGAGCGATTATTCCTATTAGTTTAGGTTCTCAGGTCTAAAGACAACCTCTGCTCCCACTTGGGCCCTGCAGAATCGAATCCTGCGGTGGTAAAGCTTGTTCTTACCTACACTGCTCGCTCTAATCTAGCTATCCATGTAGTTTTCTCGAGTACTACACTGAAGGTATTTAGTTCTAAATGTCTACTAGCGTTTTGGAGCGTTCCCTTTATTTTTACGCCTGGTCATACGATAGCCAAAGCCTAACACCGCATGCCCCGTTTGTTCTTTGCACATACGCTTGCCAACCTTTGAGAAATCGTTTGCATTAAAAACCATATACGCCTCCGAAGAACGCCGCTGTCTATAGGACCGGGTCAGTGTGTCCGCCGGATTCTTGATGCCTTTGTCTTTACACGTCAAAACCCGTACAGTACTTTCACTGTAGATCAGGCATAAAGGCGATGCATGTTTGCACGCAACACATACACATGCACGCACGCACACACAAACACGACTGTCCTGCTGCGGAGACTAGCACCGCAGGCCTATAGCTTTTAAATGGAGGAAAGCATTCCAGGTAGAGAGTGGTACAGTTCAGGAACTTCTGGTCAAGTGGATTCCGCGATGCCTGCGTCCGGCCTGCGTTTACTTGCATTCAAACAGCGGAAGGTTCTGCCGTGGCTAAGCCCCAGCAAGCAGTGTCCAAGTGGTGAAACGATTTGGTGTGCCTTTTAGGGTTTTATGACTGCCCAGTAAATCTGGAAGAAGGTGGGTCTGATAGACGAGTCAGGCTGCTAGGATCTAGTCGCATAGAGGGACTTACACGTGTAGAAGATTTGAAAGACCTAGTCGCGCTTGAAGCGGTTTACTTGTTCTTTTCCGTTCGTTTTAGAGACGGAACCACTCTTCGCTTTACGAAGCAAAGCATGAAAGTTGCTTATAGCGTTCTACAGCTTTCTGTCTTTGTCTACTTTGTTCGAATGTGCGTTCTTATTTGGGTAAACTACTATTACCGTCACCACTCTCTGCCTTTGCACTTTGGAAAGGTGACGTAGATCAGACGTAGAAGGACGTAGCGTGTGGACGCCGGCCCTGTTATTCCAACGTTAGAAACGCTGCAACGTATGGAAGAATGAGAAAACGGCGACGCGGATGCTAATGAAGCTAACATCTTCCGGGCCGTACAGGAGAGAGAAACTTGCTCCCAAACATCGCCAGTCTATTCTGTGTATGCAGTAGTACGCTTGATACAGAGCGCAGAACATGAGATGTTGGAACTACCACAAAGCCAAAGTTATCGGGTGAATTTGCCGTGTGCCATCTGTGGAGGAATGAATTCAAGCTTGCCAAATCTCTGGCCTTCAGCAGGTCTATTATTATTTCTACTATTTGCAGTTGCTCTTTGCTTCTAACTCGATTCTGTCCTTGCGGAGTCCGTGTCCGTCAGATGTCTCTTACTTTAGAAGGTGTACGTTACGGAATATAGACGCTTAGGTGTTTATGGCATCTGTTTGAAGCGATTCTCAGCCGCGTTGATGTTTTAGCAATTTCATTACGGAGCTCCTTCCGAAAGTTCTCTGAATGTAGTCGCCTGCGAAATAATTACACGAGTTTTTTTTTTCTTAAGATCCGAATAGGCTGTAGTTAGGCAAAAGCTGAGCAAGCACAATAGCCTGCACGTTCGACTCCGTTAAGTACATTTAGTAATCGGATGTATATACCTATATAGATAAACATGTTGCTTTTAGTGTAAATTACTCTTGTGCAACTTATGGGAATATGTCTGACCTGAAGAGCCGGAAACGGCGGACTGGGCGTTCCGACACCGCCGTAAATCTGAAACGTACTACACAAATGGGAGAATATTCTTCAATCCAACTACCATTTGAGTTCTATTTTCTCCACTTTTATTCAACATTCCCCATAAATTAATCATAGGCTCTAGCAGTCAGTCACCGACTCTAGCTTTCAAACTAGTGATAGCAGACACCTACGCCTTCGTTGTATAGTAGCACGTTTGTAGAGAAAGCACGCGGATGAGAAGGGGAGGATCTTAGTTTGGTTTACCCCACGTAGTTAACAGCAGGTTATCTGTGCCGATATTACGCGGCTATATACCTTCCAGTGATTCTTTCGCCGACTAATCTTTTGCAACTTGGGCTTTCGGTATCTTGCAAATAGCGGGGCCTCTTGCATTGGAACGGGTAGCCAGCCGTTCGTTAGTAAGAGCGTACGAAACATTCTCCCTTTTCTAAAGTTAGGTTTGCGTCGGTCCCTCCTTAATTGATTCTATTTCTGTTCGTGGGCGTCGTAGCAGTTCTCGTAAGTGTCCAGTACCCGCTTCGAGTACAGCCTGAGCCTAGCCTCCAATTAGGTAGTGCATAAGAAGGGTCCTGCAAGGACGAAATACATCTAATCAACCTGTCTGACTCATATGTTGAGCTATTCCCACGCAGATGAAAGGAAAAAAGAGACCGACATATTTAAATATACCTAAAATAAGCACATTGTTTTCGGAGTGCAGTCATCTAACTTTGTCAACAATACAATAAATATCCGTGTTATACGAAGTTACTAAAAGGGTCTAATTAGGGCCTAGTCAGCGGCATTCGACACTTTTACCCCCGCTATGTATACTTGGCAGAAAATGAACCACCTGAGCTTTTCAAGCAAACATTATTTCATATTAATACCAAACAGCGTATAATGACGTATACTAATACGGGTGTTTTTAGTTGGACGAGAACGGCCTAGAAGTACCTTAGCTAATTTTCGTCCTAACAGAAATATTTCACAGATGCTTTTGCGCGATAGTCCTTTCCAGCCATTTAGAAAACCCACTCACACCACATTTATGAAAAACAACAATAGATCTAAAGTATACGTACAAGCTATGATGTAAACGTATAGCCAACATTATTCGAGACCCACTTCCATAGCTTGTATCGGTTCAGTGTGCCTCATGTTTAAATGGTTTTTGCGTTTAACATTTCTATTTCTTTTCCTGCTTCCGTTCGTCTTCCAGCGTCGATCGTCTACACGGCCGTTGTTCGCGGTCGTGTCGCTCTGCCCTGCAACATTATCCCGCCTAATCGCGACGACGAGGTCGCCCTTGTTCTCTGGTATAAGGATAACATACCAGCGCCAATCTTCACTATCGATGCAAGGGAAACCCGCGAGTTGGAGTCGGCTCGGCAGACGGCCATCGAAGATTTGACTAAACGAGCTGTCTTCAATATGGCTAATAAGCCTGCGTTCCTCCAACTCGATCCTGTAACAGAAGCAGATGGTGGTGAATATCGATGTCGAGTAGATTTCAAGCGGGCGCGCTCGATTAACACCGTTATTAATCTTCGAGTTATCGGTGAGTACATAAATAATCATGCACAGTGGCTGCATAGGACGCTTGTATCGTATTATATTTGTGAATCTTAAAATCAATACACGTGATTCGTGCTAGAGATCAGCCGTCAATACGATCCTGCTAATGCGGCCATTAGGACGTACCGTTCCTTTAGCTATGGTAATGTTTGTAGAGATTCGTGCAGTAGTACTCTCGTAGTAATGGCAAAGACATATTAGTTACATTAATTTCAATGAAAAGATTGTGCCTTATTATCCTAGCAGAGACTGCAGAGAGGGCCATGAATACGTAGAAGTCATTAAAGTAGAGAGTGACAGGGAACTGAAGGGAATGTGCGGAAAACACTACCATTGATGAATATTATCATCATGAAAATACTTCGAAACAAATCAGTGGAACTACTCTGACGTTCTATAAGCTAGATTCTATGGCTGCCATTCTTCGTCTATACTTATAGGTTGAATGGCTTGTGTACGCAACACGACCCATGTTCTAGGTACAGACCTAAATGGCTTTTTAAAACATTTTTTTTTTGATTTTTTTTATATAGCACTTAATAGGCTAATTGGAAAACTTTGACGACTATCGAATATCTCATTTAGCTTAGGCCGTCTCATATTCAAAATCAGGCTTTGCGTTGTAAAAAGAGTTCCATCGGGTATGGGGCCTGCTAAACGTGTGACGAGAAACCTAGTCTGCACGTGAACATGTACAGTTCAGGGTAAAATGGCCAGTTCGCTTATATTATATATTCACGTTTGAAAGTGTCGCATTTATTTCGGATCAATACACTGAAACATTATCTAGAACCATTGATGATATTACTACCATGATAATTACTCAATCTCGGTTGGAACCTTTTTCACGAAGTATATCCGAAGAAGCGTGTTCCGAAGAAGGCCTGTTCTAGTACCTTATTATAATGAAAAATCTATGAGATTCGGATTCAAGTTTTTCAGGTCTAAACCATATGAAAGGTGCAGTGCTAAGGCCCTTATTAAAACATATAGATTTAGTTTTTAGATAAAAATATAAGATGTCAGCGATTTGAAGTTTCAACAACTGTTTAATAGATCGAAGTCTATTAAACAGTTGTTGAAGGAATTGGATCGCCCACTAACAACTTTCAATTTTGTACGCAATTAGCCTGTTACTGTAATTTTCATGCGAGTCATTCGGCCGAAGCAAGTTATATATGAAAAAAGAAAATAACTTTATTTTCTAAAACCACAGCTTAACAATTCGACGTTCTGATCCTTCTTAACTAAGAGCTTGATTTTTGTCCCGCATATTTTCTCTTGTATTTTGTTATAAAGCGGTGTCTTTTATTCGATCTAGTGTTTTTCAGAGAAAGTTCGGTCATGAATCCTGGTCTATTAGTTTATCCAATCTGAAGTACCACGAGTAACGCAATCCGAGTGGCTAGAATCACTAACGGAAATCTTCATTCACTCGTGAACAATTTCGTCGTTTTCTCCTACGGGCGTTTTTACAGTACTTTTCTAATTTTGTTGTTATCATTTGCACCATAACAGATCCACTTGATTCGTCTGCTATCTCTATTCACTTTGCAGTGCCCCCGGGTGAGCCCATCATCGTTACAGAGGAAGGCAAACCACTTCGGGGTCTGATTGGCCCGTTTAACGAAGGCGACCCGCTAACACTGGCGTGCCGAGCTGACATCGGCAAGCCGCGTCCAACTCTTAAGTGGCTCCAGGAGGGAAGTGTGATTGATGATTCGTTTTCATTTGATCACGTAGAAGAACGCAACAATATTGTGCGTAACTCGCTCGAGATACCAAAACTTACTCGGGCCCATCTCCTTGCAGTGCTTTCGTGTCAAGCGGCCAACAACAATATTACGGCGCCGTCGCAAACATCCGTTACACTCGACATCAATCGTAAGTACTCTATCCTGCTCACATATCCCTTTCTTTTGGCTTTTCTCAATTCTCTTACTTCTTTCCCCTTCCGTACCGCCGTTATTGAGAAAGATATAAGGAGTCGTGGGCAGAATGCTGACCTTCTATGCTCGTCTCGGGACATTTCATCTGCTACTAACGGCTTGGCCTATAGTAGGCTCTGATGACCGCCATACTGCATTGAAATGGATGCCTTCATTATCTACACCTTCGTGTCACCTCCTGCTCTGGCCATGTACGCAATTAAAAGGGTCTTCCACTGGAGGCCGAACCTAGCCAAACCGACCCTGAGTCGCCGAGTTTCGGAAGGATACGCAGATGAAACACGATGGTAAACGGGAAAAGGACATGGCAGAACAACGGCAGTAGTAAGCGAAGAAAAGTAAGGCGAGCAGGCAATATATGGGGGTGTATATCTACTAGAGACGGAAAGTTAGAGTCAACCCCAGCAGCCATTAGCGGTAACCCAGCTGATTGTACACATCAAGGTACGATGCTCGGACGATACACATGTGGCCCTCATGTACGTGCACACTGTGGGATGAAGAGGGAAAGAACTTTGTGATCTGGAAAATTTAAAACAGTGTCGTCGAAGGGTGCACTATATATATATATAGTGTATATATATATATATATATATATATATATATATATATATATATACTATATATGTATATATATTATAAGAATTCTATAAACATACTATAGAAGTTGTTGCTAGCATAGCCTAGCTCGCAATCAAAGGGACATAGAAGGAACAGGACAGCTATAACATATTGTCCTGTCAGCAACAGATCTCATTGCCTGTTTCGTAAATTGTAGGCAGAAGATAGTACGAAAGCCGACCGGATTCCGTCGGGGGATAACTGATTCGTTGTTACTCGTTAAGGCTAACTATAGTAGCTACTTTTGAAAAAATCGAGCACCTAAAAATGCTGAAGCGCCGATAGAGACCGCGGGTGTTGATAACCCGATGATAGCAATTTTTTATTTGCGGTAAAGCAAAAAAGGCCAAGGAACACGCATAGTACGAGGCAGTAGGCTACTAACAATAACAGCATGGAAAGGTTAGAAACGGACGAAAGTTTCATGAAAGGATTGGTTGGAAGGTGTGTTGAAGTAAACGAGCACGATGATTTTTTTTCTAATGGAACAAGTAATAATAAAATCAGTCGGGAAGCGTTAGCCAATATTAGCTGAGGATACGATAAACTAAAATTAAGGCAGCAGTGCATAATATTTGTTCTAAGGAAGACGGGCAAACGGAGCTTTTCTCTATCACTTTAGTTTATTAGTAAACAGAAAGTTTCGAAATAGTGCTCGTTACTCATGGTTACCGTCATAGTAACCGAGATTTTTTTCGACTATGCATGCTAGATCCGGATTTGAATTCGTGCTAAGAATGTATCAGTGGTTTATTTTGTTACATTTCTTAACTTTCAAAGCATATGCTCCGTTTACCTACGCATTACGTAATTCGTGTACATACCGTATACATCCTTATTGTGAATAGAAACAAAGGTATACCTTCTACTCACCGTTTCGTTTAGCTTAAGCTACAGCCAAGTTCTTTATACTCTCACTTTTGTTTGCTGCCGCCGCTCTTATTCGGTGGAATATGAACCAGCTGAAAAAGACGAAGTGTACCGTAAACCGTCTCGCGTTTCTTCGCTGTCCGCGGCGCAAATTCTATTAGCCGCTAAGTGCCCCAGGGTAGACTCGGTAGTCCCAGCAGTCCCTGGCCCACAATCGCACTAATCGACTTTGAAGGGACTAAGCTTTCCAAGAACCTTACCCTTTTTCGAGAATCTTTTATCTCTGACCGCGCCATTCACGCGCAACTTCACTCCCCCAACTGTTTTCAAAGTTCATTAGATTATTAAACATTCAACCTCAGCCACTCACATCAATCGAATGAACGACAGCCTCTAAACCCAAAACTCCGGACACTGACTATCCACGGTTTTGAGGACCGATGCACGTAAAACATGTCCTAACCAGTCGAGCCACTAACGGGCCATCGGCAGATCGACAATGTCTGCAAAGTAGTTTAAATTGCTCACATTAGAAGCATACGCAGACTGCTTTCTCTGTTGAGTAGGTTTTTGTAAGGTGAAGTACCGTCGACGACCCCCGATAGGAAGAAGGCTAAAGGGCTTAGACAGCAAACAGTTTTGAGCCACCGGTACCTCGACGGCGGAAGCTCAGTAGGAAAAACGCTTTAACCCCCTTTATCACTACATATAGAGTGTACATGACGTGAAACAAGGAACTGGACCGGGGGCAGACCCCGTAATTATAGGTTTTTTCCAGAAAGTATCACTAGAGTTTATCGAACTGTGTAGAGATAATGTAGCCTCACAGTAGAGCAGTGGCGTGGAAGACGTGCTAATGCTAAGTAACTAGAAATGGGATTGTTTGGCGATCAATTCTATAGGTCAAAATTAAGTAAATCGAGCTCATCGTCACGTTAAGGTTGCCGCGGTGAGGACATGTTGTTTTCCGTTTCGCGTCCAATTTTCGCTCTTTTGCCTGGAACGGTGAACTTAGAATACGCACAATGCTAACGTACACAATAATACCTATTATTTCGTGGATTTACTCAACAGCGTGCACTTTGTCAGACGTGAGTTCAATAGGCCGAGCGAACGACGATTGTGTGAAAGCTATCGGATATATTCTGTATATACCATTCGTGGTTTGTCTTGCTGATGTAAGAATAAAGGCAGACAGTCTAAAAGATCAGAAGTTGAGAGAAAAATTTATACAGCATAACGGATGCCCACTGTATCTGCGTCTTAAGTATGCTATTGACAAACTAACGATACTAATTGATCTATGTACCCTTTATTAATATACTTATTAAATCTTTACGATTCTTGAATTATTCATGTGCTCGTTGAAACATTATACATGCAAACACGCATGCTTAGATACTGACTTTGTTTGTAAATACGCCAATTCAGGTACTATTCGTTTGTTCGCTCAAAAGGTGTTTAGATACATTATGACACTGTTTGGATATGTGACTGACGTTCACTACGGAAAAAGTTCAGCCATATAGCAAAAGTTATTATTAAGAACGGAAAAAGGCTTTTAAAAATGTAAGCCTATTACACGAAGATAAAGGGAGTGGTATTTTTCAGATGTTGTTGGCATCGCCAGTCCAAGCCTTGTTAGCATATGTCGAGGAATAACGCGCGTGACAAACGAGTTTTGCGTGTTTCCTATTCTAGTTTATACCTTTACCATAAGGTTGATCAAAGTTACCATTTGTACGATGTAAAATGTTCGATGTATGCATTTTTAAGCAACGAATGTGACATTTGCTGTTATATTCCGAATAGGTAACTAATTTTATTACTAGTAGACTTCATACAGCCACTCACTGGGTCATTGGCTTATCGCTTACCGGTTTCAGTAAAACCCCTTGATATTAACATTCAGCCACCCGAGAAGACGTTATCAGCTGGTAACACAGTGGAATTAGTTTGCACGTCGAGCGGCTCGCGACCCCCCGCAGTTCTTTCGTGGTGGAAAGGTGATGAACAAGTAAAGGCCACCAAGGAGGACTTTGCCAAAGGTAAGAAATTTGTTTAGGATCTATCGCTAGCAACAAAATAGGCAGGAACTCGACGTACGTGGGCGCTAGTGCCAAAAACTCTGTAGAAGTGGATATCCTTGTACCTCGACTGAATTCGTCCTTCGGTATCGAAAACCTGCATGGCTTTCAAGGTTTTCTAATATCTATTTCGTAAGTCTGAGATGTTAAACCGAAAACGAAGGAAAACTAATATAATAACTCAATAAAATTCAATGGAACCTTTTTCTAACCCGTATAAACTTGTTTTTTAAACAAACAAAAGGCGTCGCACAACTCAAAATGGATAAACATCCAATATGCTTATTTTGCATACTTAGACAAATAACAGCTCCGCGATGGAAAGCAATTATGGCTCATACTTTTTTTCTAAAACGTGGTGCCGTTGGCTTCGTCGTAAACGATATTTCTGTAACGGTTTGGTTCGACAATTTCTGCCGACGGAACACAGTACATCAGTGCTTTCGTTTTGAGCAGTCGTTATATCTGCAAGAAAAATATGATCAAATATATAAAATACGTTAAAACACGCTCCTATGAATCCCTTTACTAGGCAGATGTTATTCATACTTCGTGCCATAATAATTTATGCCATATCATCGTATATAAGTAAAAAAATTTCAAAATTCAGTGCAATTACACGCCGCCCTCTACTTAAAGCAGTAAAGGTTAGGTATCAAGACGTCTGCTTAACGCACGGTTAGGCGACCTGTTTATCGCGAAGATATCTAAAAGTTACTAAAGTACCCTATATCTAGTGAATGCCCCTTTCTTTCTAATATTATTAATAATACTAATGATAAGTCGTTATTGTTTTGTTCGACATAGGAAAGCGTGCTAAAAATAAGTAAGGCAAGATTTATTTCTACTTAGTTGATACTAGGGGTAAGGGAGTATGCGCTAAGAAGTCAGCCTACGAGACACCAACTACGTAAATGTTTGAGAATAAATTCGCGTTGAAAAAACATTAAGTTGTTGCGTGAAGACCACCAAAAAATCGTAAACGTCGAGAGATACCGATACGCCCCAGTGTAAGCCGGCTGAGTTGAACAGCCGTCGCTAGTAGGCCAGCCAAGTACAACTGAGGCCGTTGATAAAGTTACTAAGGGCCTTTGGTCGGAATAATAGATTTTACTATTTTTATTTTGCTCAGGTGAAATTAAAAATGATACACGTAAAAAATACACGAAAGCACAGAGTCGTCGTTTATCTGCTGAAATGCTCTTCTCCCGTTTGTCGTTCGTGCTTATGCTTCTTAGGTCTACGAAATGCAGTTGTTTTAATAATGTATAATGTTGCCTTTTTTAAACTTTTTTTTCAACATTCTTAGTTATTCTCTACGTGAACAAGCCTTCAGAATCACTTCGTTTAGGTGGTCTTGCCCCCCCCCCCCCCCCCCGCTAGGAAATCTAACTGGAGTGGGTCTATTAGGCCTATAAAACTGCATGGCAACCATATATGCAGCTATTTCCTTAAGCAATTCTTACAGCATATTCAACTGAGACTAGGAGAATGTAACGAGGATCTTTGCGTTCTCCTAGTCTTAGTTGAATATAGAAAAAAAAAAAAGTAGAAATCACAGCGGGGTCACTAATCCGAAACGTAAGCGATTTTCCCTGTGCTAACTTCATACATGCAAACTCCTCCGTGCTTAAATATATCTATTGGTCATCAGAACGATTTCGTTGTCAACGTTACGTTTTATAGGTTTTGTCAAACCGTTAGTAGGGATCAAGCAGTACAGAAGCTGTCTCTGCAACAACAAATAATACTAATTTCCTAAGATAATCACATGCCATTCGGAACGCACATACGCGAAGGTATACGCATATAAGGAATATGTGTGTCTTACGTGCCAAATATTTCTCGTATAGATTAGAATATCCTATATCATGAGTAAAAAATGGAACGACAGCTAAAGCTAATGGTTCTTACCACAGAAGCATCATTTGCTTTGACAAACCAAAGATATGAATTTTTCTGTTAAAAAATTCTCGTTTAAATTCTATATGTACGCGCTGGTATTGGATCCTCTAATAAGGTAGACTAAAAACAAACTACTAACCGGAAACAATGTAGTGCGGATTGTTATTTTGTATACATACAGAAACAGATAGCCGAAAGCAGAGTTTTGATCAGTCCTTCATTTTCGGGAATTCTCAAATCACTCGCTCGCTAGTCTTATTTGCGACTTACTCTAAGTATCCAGCCAGCTAGCACTCTTATCTATTCAGCCAAACCCAGTAAAATGGCTCATTTATCAACATATATTCAAAAGAAAATACGAAGCAGAGTTCTGCGCGTGACGTTTCCTAATAAAGACGATAAATACGCCAGTTGTACATGTACCTCTATTAAACAAACTGACGGCGACTAAAGTTATCGCTGAATGGCATAACATTACATCCAAACACCCACAGGCACAGTCATAGCCGTATAGTCGCACATCCCAAACAAGCTGTACCTATAACACCTAGATGGACAGTCATCACGTATCTACTAGGACATGAAACTTTTGTAGATAACAACTAGGTATCTTCTTAAATAGACGGACCTCTGCGAAGATATCAACAGCAGCAGATAATGCTAGCACCATACTTATGCTCTGTTCAATATGTGATGTGCCTCTATTCACGTTTGGCTGGACGTTCTCTCGTTGGCTCATTTGCCACTCATCGTCCATCGTTGACTATCTTCTGGCGATGACCGCTTTCCTACGGCAACTTTCATCACCGCGGCGATGCTTGCACCATTTCCACCGCCATCTCTGCTGCCTGCCCCTAATGCCGTATCTTCCTGAATGCGACCATTGACATACGTTAATCTGAATCCGCTCAGGAGGCTTGAGCACGAGCACGTCCGTCTTTGTTCTTGTCCCGAAGGCGGATGATGACGGCAAAATGATCGCGTGCCGCGCGGACAATCCGGCCATCAGCGGGAGTGCTCTAGAGCGCAGCTGGACCCTCGACGTTCATTGTGAGTAGTAACAGTAATAATAATATCTGTGGTGGTAGCCGGAGTTAAGGTCGAGTCACTGCCGAAACCGTGGAGAATGGGTTAGAAACCATGGTTGGTCTTTGTATTATAATGTAGCTAGTAAGGTCCTGAGCTCGACCACTAACGCTAAAACGGTAATGGCCAGCAAGCCGATAAAGCGCAAAGGGAAACAAGCCGACTAATTGGCTCCAGGCGAGCCACATTTTTTCAGACCGATCGGCTTGCCAACTTCAACATGGGTCATCATGGATCGTAAAACAATAATAATAAAACTAGTAAGTGACTCCGTTTTAGCCATTTCTGGTCTTCCAATTTTAAGTTTCTCTGAGAAATTATACATGTAATATGGTAGAGACCAAGGGAAATAAGAGGAAAGGGAAAAGTCAGCGACAGTGAGGTGAAAATAAGACTCGTAAAGACGTATGCACAGAGATGGCGCTGGGCTAACGGCAAAAGCAAAAGCTCTATACCGTATGGTAGAATCTATTTTAGGCCCGATCCTAAGTTATAGAACTGTTATTGAAATTTTGGGTGCATAGATTGCAATGATTTATATTTGAATTTTTGCGTACTCAAGTAGGTAGTTTTTCTAGCTGTTATTGGTTATGCTCAAACGTGCAGTTAAAAATCTCTTTCATTACACAACAAAGTCATATTAATAATTTTATCCATACTGCACCGTATGTTTCTTTATTTCGGACTTCGAAGATGGGACGCACTTTTTGTCAGGTAGCAAAGAACAGCGCTTTCGACACCGAACTTAATCCACATCCTCTCTAATGTCAAAGAGCTGCAGAAGCAATTCAGAATATGTATCCCTATATGACACGGATAACGAGGAGATATGAAAAGTAGATCATATATTTAGTTTTCTTCAAAAGTGGCTTAGGACAATCCTCGACGCATAGCAAATGTCAAGCAGGATCATCCTCTAGGTCCAATATGCCCCTTTTGAACTCAAAAGGCCACTTTTAACAGCTATTTCCAGCTAGAGTTCTTGTCCCACTCATCTGTATGAGGTTATTCTGGCAGTTATTCGACCTTAATAAAACCTGAATAAGGCACTGCTTTCTAGCGCCCGACATATTATCTTTGAAGCCAAGCTAAGAGCGACATTTCGTGATCTGCAGGAAATAACATCTTTATCAAAAAAATGTTTTCCAATAAAAATTGACATTATCTACGTAACAGCCTAATAAATAATCCTCGTACATGCATACGGCATTCGGTAACATAGTTCGTACTGTCACAATCGCTATCATCATAAACATATTCCTAATTTTTTTTTCGAACTATAGACAAACCCCGTATTAGCCTAGTTTTAGGCGCCAACCTAAGGGAAAGCGATATTCAGGAAGGTCGAGATGTCTACCTCGAGTGCAAAATCAGAGCAAACCCTCGTGCTTCTGAGGTTACCTGGGAACTCGAAGGAACCGAATTGCAAACAGATAAGAACAAGGGTACGTACACTATTTTTTGCGTTTACCTGTTCTTGATATTTTATTTGTTGGAGGCTAATGTTCCTAGATATTTAATCATATACGTAACCTGTGAGTCGATTCCGTCAGTAGTGTTACGTAATTACCTTTGTATTCCATAACATATTACAAACCAGGTAAAAGTTAAAGGCCCTGAGCTTACTTTTTGAAATACAGTATACAATAGTAAGAACATGTTTTAAATGAAGAATATTCCGATTCTTTCTCTCTATATAGTCTAACATGGAAATTAGAGAAATATAATTAATTTCGAAGCAGTTACCCTTATTTTCTCTAAAATTATATAAACTAAAAACGTTTTCCCACGCTAGCTTTTATTTAGCTTAACTATATATGCATACTTATTAGCTATATATGTAGTTTTACGCTTACCAAAATCAGTGACACATTAAAATTCACGAATTTATATATCTATAATAAATATAAGGTTAATTTTCAACACCTTCCTCGGGAAATAGGCGATCGGTACCTGTAGTTGATTGCATAACTTCTCTGGAAGCAGTATACAAACATTTTAAACGCTGATGAACTAGAAAGCTGTTCTCTCGACAATTTTTTCTTTCGAAGATTTTAAGGTTCTAGTTAGATTGAACGGGAATGTTTGTATTGAACACAAACGTATTTCACACGTACGCACACAATTTACTACTACTACCGACTAATAAAGGAGGCAGCAAAAACAAGTTCTCACTTACGAATTTGCCTTTGGGAACTTGAGGTTAAGCGATCTAGTTTTCATGCTCTCACGCTTATTATCTACTAATTATCTATAGTGATCACTAAGCGCGAATACAAGACAAACAATTGTTGCAAAATACTATTTTCTTCCTCTGGGTGAGTCATTATCAAGCTGTTGTTAGTGGTCTGAGCAAAAGCTAAATCTATATTAAGGCCACGACTTTTGTCCATGGTACAGGTATCATTGTGAGCAGTTCATCGTTGGTCCTTCAGTCGATACAGAGATTTCAGAGAGGATGGTATACATGTTCTGCCAGTAACCGGGAAGGCGCTACAATAAGTAACCGGCTTCAACTAAAAGTTAAATGTAAGCTTGATTAAATTCTGATCCGAACGGACATTATTATTAATAGAGTTTACTGGGATGGTACGAGTAATGGGGTTGTGCAAGAATATTTAACAGGGAAACATAGATCAAATTGACTTTCAGCACGATAGCACCATAGGTCAGTATGCTAGAAAAAGGATGATCAAACGATATTTCAGAACCGTTAGTGTCATTAAGTTTTATGTAGACCATCTATAAAAGCCCATTCAATTTGATTCCCCTTCAAAATAACTTGCCATTACGCTAAACTTACATTGTCACCAATCACCTTCATGATTCTCTACGACGAAGGGCACTAAGCATTAGAACGCATCCGAGGTTAATCGTACAGAATCGATTTAGCACTTCACCAATACAACTCGAATACATTCACTTTAAAGTATTGTATTGTTGACGCCTTGCACGTACCACAGTTCTCATTGCGTGGCGCTCTCTTCAGCTGAACTGCTAGTCTCTGTCATAGGGATTTCTTTGGGGTTATCGAGATAAGTCAGCGTGGTCTCGAAACTAGGCATAAAAGATCACACTCGGAGAAATTGACCTGCTTGTCCCTACGGGGATTGGAGCGTAACGTTTTTTTTGTTTCTGTTTTTTTGACATATTACGCAATACTTCAGACGCACCCCGATGTCGCGAGCAGCAGCGCAGGGTTTACGGTGTCGATCTGCATGAGACGACACAGATCCGATGTGATCTAGATGCTGACCCTGATTCGGAGATCGAATACACCTGGGCGTTCAACAACTCGCAAGGAAAACGGGCCGAATTAAACCCACTGAACTCGACGCCACACCGATCATCGAGGTACACGAACATTTCAATGCTAGCTGATAAAGAAAAACATTCTTTTCGGTCTGTAGACTTCATCGTAGGCTAATAATCTTCGGACAGATAGGCTACCGATCTAGTCGCACACAGGTCCCGTGAGTTCAAACACTGTTCATATAGATATCGAAGGGGAATGTATTCTACAGCAGCTGTTATAGATTTCGTTGGACGTTACAACATGATAATCAGGCTTTCGTAATATGGAGAAGCGTTTACGATTTCGTTAACAGCTGACCAAACAAAATGGCGAATACTAAAAGGTTAGCTAATTTTATAAGAATCAAAATCAATAATTCAGCAGGTATCTAGCTAATTAGCTGTTACTCGCTCGAAATTACTCCGTCTTCCGTCACGCGACTACGGTGAACTTCAATTCAGTTGAAGTTTTCAGCATTCACAGGTTGTCTTCAGAGCATGCTCTATAAACCTCTTTTCCTTTGGATATCCCGTTCTTCCCTTTACAGCAAACGTTTAAGCTCCATAAAACTGCGCGATGTCCTGATCATCGTTTTGAACCCTCGACCCACGCAGTTGAAGTGCCCCTAGCTAAACCGAGCCATTTAGTGCCACGATTGTATTTAGTTATGGACAATGCCGAACCAGATGGTAGCAAGCCCTTTTCGAGGTCACTCGTCCTCGTAACTGGTGAAGCATATACATTCGACCTTGTTTGGAGTTGTGTTTGACTGGTATTTCAACGAACGACCCGCCCATAAAATCAAGAGTTTCCGTCTGTCTGTCTGTCTAATAAATGCAACGAATCCATCCTCTGGGCCCTCACGGCTGGTCACCACCTCTTATAGGGCTTCTAATAAGCGGTTAACCGCTGTCAGATGGCATGCATGATCGAGATTCATTTAAAGCGTTGCTTAACACGGTCTCACTCGCCATGTATCAACTGCTCTGTTCGTTTTAGCTTCATATATCTGTCGCAGGGTGTCATATACTACGAAATATCGATTTCGCCCTGCTCTTGGTTGCTGGTCACAGTTTTTCCTATTCGCTAATGTTACCTGGGTGGAATACATAGTGGAAACATAGATATTCATCAATGAAAGGCGCGTGCGAAGCGATCTTAACAGATTTTTGTAACGCGCCATTGATATACATGGCAGTGATGTAACGAGGGATATGGTGCGTGTGGGGCACGCGGAGCTGAACCATATTGACGTTCTGAAATAGTGAACAAGTGGGTTATGTCGTCGTTTCTGGTGACGCCATCGTTGTACACACATACTCATAATGCATAACCTGTATTGCGCCTGTTCTTATATTGCATTGGATTTGTTTGTTGACACGCGGTTGCCCCCGCACGTCGTTGTTGTTATGGTTAATTTCCTCGTCGATGACGCGGGGCGATGAACGGCGTGTTCCAATATGTCAGGTCGATCCTCAACTACAAACCTATCACGGAACAGGACTACGGTGAGTTGCTATGCTACGGAAGTAATGCGGTGGGTCATCAACTTGTGCCATGCGTCTATCACATTGTGGCTGCCGGCAGTCCTGATCCGCCGGAGAACTGTACACAGGTGAGTGGGGCAAACCGAAAAGAACGATAGACAACACAATGTTGATGCGTGAGAAAGACACATTCTACTATCAAAAATAGTAAATTACAAAGGCGTATGGGAATAAGGGAATATCAATTGCTGAGATATTGCCTGACGCTGTATCTTATAAAATACAAACAGGTATAGCGCAGTTATCAAAACATCAGCGGGGTCATGGGTGGTTAACGGAAGTTGCCTTGTCTAATATGCAGAACTTGGGTTCCAATTAGTTCACGGATTATCATGCCGGGCGATTGGTGCTCAGAGGCTTATCACGGTCTATTTGTGTAGCTGTTAATCATAAAATAATGACCGTTTCGCCTTTCATTAAACATTTAGCGTCAAGTCGGTATATAAATCGTACATAAGCACAGGCAACGATTCTCGTTTATGTGTTGATTCTCTCTAGACAATTTTGCCCAATATATATATACATATGTATTACAGGTTAACGCAACGGAAAACGGCTTCACGGTCGAGTGTGTCTGGCCGGATACGGCATGGAATGGTGGCGTCACTTTAGCTCAGCTTTCGTTTCTTGCCGAAGTTATCAACGAAGACACACATGTACACGTGTTTAATGTAACTACAGAACCTGGTTTACTACCGCCCACGATCGTCATCCGGGACTTGGAGATGGCTGAAAACAATCAGGCCGGTTTTCGGGTGCAGATCTATGCGCGAAATCATAAGGGCCATCGAAGCAATCCTGTCGTGATGATAGCTCATGTGCTGAATGCCTCGAAGTATCAAACGCGTAAGTCTGATTGCCAATAGTAAAATACACACCATAAATAGAGAATCGTTGATAAGTGGAGTGTATTCTAACTACTCGAAGGCTTCTTGCCGACAAATTGATAAATCAATTTTAATTATTATGCACATATGCATAATGAGTACGTCCCTGTATATGTTAAATAAAAATGCCTCCATAACGTTGATGCTCGGGGTTTGTCCGCCTTTGAAGGGGTGCGCCGGTTGTATGGCTTTACATCGCAAATTAATGTGATGTGCGTAGTATTACAGTAGCTGTGACGCTTAACGGGTAAACGTGTCGAAGAGCTTGTAGGTGTTCAAGTTAAGTACATACAAAGCAGTGTACATATTTACAGATCAAATTTTGCTGCAGCCAGCGTAATTTCAGTACAGCGTATAACAATACTGATAATGATAATAACTATAGTAAATCATTTATGTAATACAAGACAGGGGCACTTTGTGCTAAAAAATAGTATGACCTGTGTCCACCGTTTTATCGCGAGTACATACAGGAAGATTGCCTACGCTATTTTAGTTCATACAAATAAAAACACTGTGCAAATGATCCCTTGGATACTATATATATCTGCAATAGGGAAGTTGCCACCTATCATTTTGCGGGAAAGGTCACGCATGATAACGTACGTTGGGTCATGTGACCGGGTCAATTTAATTGATTGATCCCAGCTTGGCTTTGTAAGCCATGCGAATTCATCTTTGAAAGTATAGAATTAAGTACGGATTGCGAACACCGTCGATTGGAACCCGTACCTGTACACTATCTCTTAATGCCTTTATGCGTTCCCTAATTATTGCGAAACGCCGATCATGTATTGACGTTTGTCTGAGCTTCGTCAGGACAATTATAGTAATAAATATAGCTTCAATAGCTTCATAATTTCAGGCTTTCTACAGTACGGCAATCTTCTTTATAAGTCACTTTTTAATATTGCTATTCTATCATCCAACTTTATGTACAGGGGTGGTCCGCTCGAACATTCAGCTCCCATTTTAAATGTGAGCTGAGGCCTCTTCAGAAAGAAACGCTTCATTTGATTTGTTCGGACACGATGGGTCTGAATTGTTTCAAATATCGCTGCCAGTGTCGCTGTAATCTGGATACAGAAAAACCGTTCTGCCAAAGACGTCCGCTTTAGATTTGCAATTGGTATGTTTCTCGAAAACACGACAGACTAACGCGCCCCAATTTAGACTAAAGCGAGCTTATCAGTTTTATTATTTGAGTGCACTCTTCTCGTTATTGCCCCGAAATAGCCGGTAAAACTTAACAAACCCCAATTTTCATTTTCTCCATTCGAAATAAAGAGCTTTAGTTTATTTGCTCCGGTCGATCCTTTGTTAATGTTTTTAGAATCGTCAGATCTGGGATTGCCTTGCAACGTTACCTCCAACTCATTTGATCCCTTTCGCGCATTTTCTCACATTGTAAACTGAACGGACAAGCAAGGAAGTCGGCCAGTATGAAACGGATGATCCGTGACGCAACCTGAATCATCACCGGGCGATTGCTGCGTGGCCGGGTATATGATTACAACAGGGATTTTAGGTTCGCGTACGGTCGTCTCATGATCAAAGGGGAAATCGTGCGAAACACTCTTGTACAGACACACGCGCATACAGGCATACTTAGTCACACGACGAAATTGAGACGGCTAATCTAGTGGACCACATACTATGAATTGTCGCAGTGCACCTCGTGCATCAGATTGCAGCAATTAATTGAGAGGTTATTAAGCTGCGATTGGGTGAGGCCGTCTTTACCCTCCGTAGTTTTGGTGAAGTACCTAACTCCTACTATCCAAGCTCCATGTCGAGAGGAATGACGGCCTCATCGAGGCTATCGTTCCTCTCGACCTTCCAGCAATAATGTTTTCAACTACTAGGCAGCGCGAATTATATTTCCTAACTGGTGCATTGTGCCACTTAAACTGCTGGTATGGACTTGTAATGAATGCACTGTACGCCACCTGTTAGCATGTCGTATTCTGAGAGCTTGGAACGGGTCTTTTTCCAGACTTTTCGATTTCAAGCGAAGGTCCGATGTTTTTCTGTCCCTTCAAGGCCTGTTAACCCGAGCCTATTTTGTACACGAAGGTCTCGTGATGCTACGGCGATAACGTGAAAACCTGAAAAAAAAATTCTCATTTGATACTTTTTTATGTGCCACAGGGCATCGGGGAACTTTCAAAGGCTTAGATTAGAGCACGCTTCTAAATTAAATCTTCTAAGACTTTTCGACTCAGAACAATATTCTTTTGTGCGAATTATTACGTGCACGAACTCATTTTAAAGGCTAACCCAGTTAAAAGGAGCTTAATACCAGATATCGCTCAGTCATTTGAGGGTGCTTTTCCTTGATCGTGTTTCGAAGTATGTTTATACGCTTGTAAGTTTCAACATATGGTGCACAATATAGCTAACATACGACGATACATAAAAGAAAAACGATTGATTTATTAGAATTGATTCAACTCGTGGTGTTACACCCGCATGCTCCAACCCCAAGGGTTGGCAAAGGTACATACAAGTACTACAATGCTATAGGAACAATATGTTATATTTATAGATATTTAGTATATATATCATTTAGTACTTTGTTAAATCGAATATTTGTTTGAACGGTTCATTTCAGATCCTCCAGGTCGTCTTGGTCTCGTAGTAATACGGCCAGTTATAGGAGTCGCACTCGGTCTCGTTTTCACTGCGGTTTTTGTCGGCCTCGTAGGATTCACCGTGATTAAATGCAAACGCTACCAAGAAGAACATAAAGGTCAGTTTTTTTTTTAGTAGAAGTTAGTGGCACTTTGATACTCTGACCGAAGCTACTTACGTGTGTCTATAGCGTAACGGCGTTTGATACTAGACACCTATAAAGTTCACCAAGTCTCTATTCATAAATATTCCGTCTGCTCCATATAATCATTTCATAGATTTCACTTAGATTATTTTATTATTTTGTCTGTTTTTATTCATTTATTTAGATACTTTCGTTTTTGTTGCGTACGAGAGCATTCGGAGAACTGTCCCACGTAGCATCAAAAACAGTCGTCTGTCGCGAGAAAACTTAATTTTAGCCTCGACCATACGTTATGAACTCTACTGCTTTTAGGAGGATTAAATTGTGTGGAATAAATTGGTTAAATGTGAGCACGATAGAATCGTAAGCTCGTACGTTTAGCTAGGTTCCGCTCTGTAATTTCGTCGTGTTTCGTTATTTCTTTATTACATCGTTTAATTTGTTCGTCGCGTTTGTTGGGACTGTGATCGCTTATTGTTTCTCACCAAAACGTTGCGCTTTAGTGAACTTTTTTTCTCATCCTCCACCCACCAGCCCTCTCTGTTTTTTCCTTGTTCCGAGTTGTGCTTTTCGTTGTTTCTAACCGTACCTCCTTGTTGGTGTTAGTACATGCAGTTTCCACACAGCAACAACAACAGGATCAACATAAGGACAATACTAAAAAAAAGTAAGTGTTACTGCAAAGTATTTATCATTATAGAGAATTTGTATTGGACAATTAAGTTTATGTATATACGTCTACCCCTTCCGATTTTAAGCGATTAAGAGCTTAACTATAAGACAAGAAATTACCTCTAATTATAACAGTCAGATTTATCAGTGTACAACGGCTAGCAAGTAAGTATAAGAATAAACAAACTATATGTCCAGCTCTGATATAAGCTCTTACGTATACACAAAAATTAATTGAAGCAATTAATAGCGCTAGATTGATTGTCAGTCAATTAAGGTTAGGGCTTCATCATTTTGGGACTCGTCATTGGTCACAGTACGTAAGCGGTCGGCACCGCACCTGATATTTTCTGGTATTATATATAAGGCATATATAGCCTCGTTGTTGACCATAGACAAGTTGCTTGGACCTGGTTACAACTGATATGAAAGTTAACATGAAATGATATTCAGCCGTAATCCTTATCTGAACTTCTTAAGATCTCTTTGTTCATTGATATATACAAGCCTTCGAATTATGGAAGTGGTCCCCAAGAGAGATGTACGGCGTTGCCCAGATGTTTCCTCAAACTCGAGTAGATTTTGAGAGATTCTAACGTTATTATTATGTCTTTATGCTGTTTATGCTAAGGAAAATCGTCCAAAAATAATGGTTTATATTGATTAAAGCACAAGCCATTATCCATACTATATATATATCAAATAACTTGATAGCAAAGTGTTTTATATAGCACGAAAGTGAAATCTAATTTGTTTAATTTCAGAAACCGAGAATGTCGTGTTTCTTTAATTCGTTACTATAGGTTTCGGTCATTTCTAAAGTTGAACTAGGAAACAATGCGACACTAAAACGTACTTTTTATATCTTAACTTCGCTCTATTCAAAATAGTAGTATTCAATTGTTAAAATAAGTTCATGTACATTGAAAGAATCAACTATTGAGCACGGCCTCGATAACTTTCTTTAGATTAGACATTTTCGATATATAACTCACCACGATTACAATGTGGACTATAGGCGTCGTTATACAATATATGTTTCCGGTCACACACAGAATTCTTCCCACTATAAAAAAATGACATGACATGTCATCCCTCTGCCTGGTGAGCTGCATAATCTATAATTCAGTTATCCATTGCCTTCAAACAAAGCAATAGCCACGCCCCCTTCGTTTACATGAATTGGTGATATCGAGGTTGAAGGTAATAGATTACAGATGTAAGTAGTCACTCAAACGACAGCAGCGCCCACTGGGTTGGTCCTCGCGTATCACAAAAGGAATATTTTTTTTAACTCAGTGCAACACAAGTTCCCTAGCCGAGTTTACAGAAATCATGAACCTACAAAATGCCCATGAGATATGTATAACATAGGAATTTTATTAGGAATAGTCCATCGATACCGACACCTCCCGTCAGTTATTTTCCTGTACCAATGGACAGGAAGATAAACACCAATATGGGCGGCAAATACTATTTTGGTCAACTTTTGAAAAATGATCGCAGGTCCTTTTTTGATTCTGCTAATTTTCGTTCATAATGTAACGGACCCAGAGTTGATATCGTTTCTACTAGGTTGATTATGAAAGGCAAAAAAAAAAAAAAAATGTGATGAAACTGAGAAAGACGATTCGGTCAAAGGTTGGCCAAAGGGCGACAACTAGCATTCAAGGTCAGTATCCATCTCGATAGTTAAAGAAAAAAAAAAAGAAATGTTTCTTCTGGAATGCTGCTCGGCTTCGTTGACTGCTAGTGGTAATGGAATAGAAAAATGTAACAAACAAATAACAGCTATGAAAAACGAAAAACTTGCGTCATATCGCGCTACAAAATCTCCACTTACGTCAATTTACATTTTAAACTAACTATAACAGCATTTACGGACAGTCCAATCCCTAGTCTATGGTTCCTGCCTTTATAGGTATAACGGAACGATATGAAATGCAATGCACTAAGGGAAAATAGTCTACTGCGAAAAGATTAAACCAGTTCTGTCAATGCCTCTTGGTCTCGAGGTTTTGCGTTCGCCCCTTGGACTAGAAGGCTGTTTTTGTTGCAGCCGGATACTTTTCCTATTTTCTTTAGGTCGTCCATTACAAGTCTCCTGGCCTCTTTCAGACCTACACGTCAAATATGCAAACATGTCATAAAGTAGACGCTGAGCTTACCGCAGGCTCAAGTAGGATCCAAACGTTGTCTTCAGACAATCCACTCACCCTAGATCGCTCCCGTTTGCGTGACAACCTCCTGCCAACCTTCTGCCGCCTTGTGTATATTTACTTCTGCTCAAGTGGTGACGAATAGTTACTTTGTCATTACAGAAATGATACAATACAGTAATAGTATACAAGTACAGCTGTTTCGATACAAATCAACACTTTCGTTTGTTACAATTTGACTGCTTCTTTGTAATGGAGTCGCAACTTATTTTCTACAGTTAACCACCTCCCTTAGCGCAGCAAATACCCTTTCGCGCGTACACGTGACCTTCACAAAGGCGCGGAACTCGAAGTTATGAGCTGGTTGTCGCTAGATGCCTGGAATCTGCAAACTCAACGAGCCAGAAATGAAGTGCGCCCTGCATATGAGGCACCTCAGTTTCAATGGTTGTTTTAGTTATTTTTTGGGGCTTACTTTGAATAGTTATACTCGTGCTGGCCGTCCATGATTTTCTGCCCGCGTGCACTGGCCGCGTGGGGCGTGTGAGGCTGGAGTGGCTTATGACCAACCTTGTTTTAAAGAGAACATATGCTACTTTGTGGCATCTATAGTTGTGTCTGAATAAGATATGCGCCCATTTTCCTAGGCATCCAAAAGCTAAAGCAAACAGGCCTAATGTGGACTCAGTTCAGGGGATTGAGAATTCTGAAGAGAAAGGGTGGAATATGTTGCTAATAGGTCGTTATAAGATTGGAGAGTTTCTATAAAGAGAATGCAACCTGAGGGCTTGGTTGAATAGGTTTGTCGTCATTTCCGAATCGGGTCTTTTGGGAGCCGCTGGGATCCCTCTTCCTGCTAGTAGTCTCCCATTCACTTTTCCTGTTCTGCTCGTTTCTATGGGACAGCTCACTTAGTTGTTTACACTACTTGAGATGTGAACATATGCGTTCACCACAGTGTAGATCCATATGTACACTAGCGGGTTCAACTGCCTTAATTAGTGGCACCGATCATTAATATTAGACGGGACAAAGAGGAGTGTCGTATGTTGAGTGCTATCAAAGATTCCTCTCATTGATAAAAGGAAGGATGGTTGGTTGCTCAGAAGCTTCCGAAAATTTCTAACCTTTTTATTCTAATTTCAGCGTAAAGTAAATAAAAGCATTTATGTTTAGCATTAGTAATGACTAAAGCATTCCATTTTCTTCATTTGTAGACAAGTCAACGCTAGTGTCGTCTTTTAATATTTTGTGCGCTTTTATTTCCCCTAGACCAATACATTTATCAAGAATCGATCTGATACGGCCTTTTACCTATATATACATTTCCGATAGATAGATAGATAGATAGATAGATAGATAGATAGATAGCTATATTTTGCCTGCATAAGGTTGAGTACAGTTTGCCCTTACATAGAAACGCGTCGCTGTTATTACCGAAGTTCCGGCGAAGGCAAGATGTAGGTATTTCTCTCCCGCCTTTGGCACAAAAAAGACTGATTTGCTTCGCCAAACGTAACGGGAGCCAATACCGCTCGGAGCTAAATGTGACCGAATAGAATGCAAAGGTCCGGTTATCTGGAAATCCAGCAGAGCACATTATGAGACGAAACAGCCCCGTCCTCCGTCCCCTACAGCGCTCTATTCAAACGATTACATAATCGTCAAATAGGGTTATCTATTAATCCCGTTACGACAGCTGGCTTGGCATATAACCTGGAGAATTTCAGAAATATCGTAACGGATCTAGAGACACGTCACTCTTAAGGCACGTGGGGTTTAATGTCTGACGTAACTGGTTAGCCGCCGTAATCCCCATCGACGATGGCGACAGATCGTTTTTTTTGCAGTGCTCCTTTTATTTAACAGAGGCTTGTAGGACTAGTGACCATCATGTGCCGCGACATCAAGAAGGCAGACGAGTGTTGTGCTTTTGCTACGTAATGTTCGACTCTGGAATAATGCGGCTTATCGGTACCGACTGTGGTTTGGCATCATTTCGAGCTGAATGATCGGCCTAGTTACCCATTGGGGCCTAACTAGCCCAGCGACAGCGCTTAAGGACAGAAGGTTTTTTGTCCTCCTTCTGGCTTCACCTCCCTGTCAAAATTTAGCACGTTTCTTTTTAGCTTTCGATAACATAAAAGCGTTAACGAAAGATTGCTGAGGAGAGACGCTGGTAGCACATGAATTGACCGTAATTACAACGAGTAAAACTTGGAGGAGGAAATGCATGACGGAAGTAGTACGGGATGGAATTGGCGAAGTAACCCAGGAGGCACCTGGGTACAAATATCGTCGCTTAGCTTTTAGACCTGAAAATCTGTTGACTTTTAACGCTGGGGGAGGGGAGATGAGGGGGGGGGGGTAACACCTCTTTTCATGAGTAAGGTTCGAAAAGCCAAATAAAATTCAAGACCTACTTGAGACTAGGGCTGAGGCCAACGACGACAGCGTCGAAAAACGCATTTTAAAGGCAAAAGAAAATCAGTCGATGCATGTATGAAGGGCACTACATGTATTGGCACCGAAAATACGAAAATCAGTAGGATGCAGTGTGATCGCACGAGGAAACGTTAACGTAGAAACCGTTTTCTAACCCAGTACCGAAGAGCTAAAGAAGCGTTACCGCGTCGAATTCGATGGAATCAGCTGTAGCACTCGATAAACGTCCGTATGTAGCAAACGGTGTTTTACTTGCTGCGTACTGGTACGCTCGTTTGCAGCAAAGAGCGACTTTAGTGTAACCACTAGAAGAATATGATGTTGGCAGATGTCTTTTTAGGTGGCTCTAGCTTTTAAGGATCAGGAATGAACATTATATGGGTTCGATTTGAGCATAAATTGTCACAAGCCCATATGTGCAAAAGTAATCTTCTTATGTGGCACACGATTCGATTAGGCTTAAATATGGAACGTGATTAGAAAATCAGTGTTGTTGAAAATTCGACGTTTTTATCTGTTGTTGGTTCACCGCCTTGAACCAACGTTGAACTAATGATGTCGTCGAAGAACGAACATAGAACCGACATACTGAAAACTTCTAAGAAACATTAACAGCAAATCGAAGGCAGTGCGCAAAAAGGAGACATGTTTTAGCCGTGTTTTTAACGATGAATTTTTAGTGGAATCACTGTAGTGCTTCAAACGAAGAAATCAGTTATCGACGTGGGCCTGGTTAAAATCGAGAGTATTTTTTAGAAATGAACAGTAACACGAATAAGCTAGAAAATATACGAAATACTCTAATATAGATTTCGGGATATGTCTGGTATGGACCTCTTGAACGTTTTATCGGTAAAAAAATCTTTAATCAGTGAATACTTTTCTATCTCTTTCACATCCAACCCGATACAAAATCAGCGCTCATTTGAACAGCCGTACAGATGAAAGAAAAATTGTGGCTTTATTTTAAGTCAAAGGAAGATTTTAATGTTCTTCAGCGGATACTAAGGAACAAGAAAGTTGGACATGGAGCGACCGTTTGTGTATGTTCTCGACACGAAACGCTTTTTTAGCCGAAATCGAACACTTTAATTGTTATCGACAAATGAAGAGAAAAGTTGTTATATAAATATGAATTAAGTATTATTATACCCAGCTATTTTTTTACCTAGTATTGTTATACACACTAATAGCCGATCTTTTGACCGATTCCCTGTGATTAACATAGTAACGGCGACAATATATTCGGTTCATCACACCAGTCTTACGTTTAGGCGTTTTTGTAAATTGTTTATGCCCAAGATGTGTTATCGGGAGAAGCAAAAGATGCTCTTGTCAAGCTAGCTCTGGAAATTTCGTACAGGAAAAATCGTAGCGGCTGATTAACTATGAAAAAAATTGGTAAAATAGTTGCGATCGTTGAGCAAAATCAGGACCTGAGTAGATATGACATCGCCAAAAATCGAATATCTATTGTAAAATCAACTGAAGGAAACTTGCTATAGTAAGCAGCGCGATGCTAAGTTAAAGGTCATCCACTCAATTGCGTTTGCAAAATCAAACTTGAAACCGTTTACGAAACAGTTAATCAAGGGAGGGGTGGACAATTTCTGGGTTTTGCTTTCAGGTTTCGGGCAGATTATGATCTGTTTCAGTCTCTGCAGTAATAACGGTAACGTTGTTTCAACGGAAAAATTAAAAAAACCGCTTGTAACAGTTTATCGTCCAGAAATCAAGAAAGGTTCCATAGCGATGAAATTATGCTGCACCCAGGAAAATGAACGAAGATCCTTGACCCAAATTGCGCATGTTTAGTGTGGAAATATTGTTTTAAAATATTAAAAAAACATATATGTGCTTACACTTTGGCTTGAAACCCGTTAATACTTTTTTTTTTCGACGATTTAATGTATATGTATATGTATGGCTGTGGATTGGTTTGATTCTTTTGTGTTGAAAAGGAACGCTGGTCTCGACCCCGTAGATGCCGTTTTTATTCACCGAACGAGTCATACAATAATAAAAATCTAAGAATTTACTTTTAGAAAGTAGACAGATTCGTTCAAACAAACAAACAAACACACAGGTTTATTTGCACTCGGAAAATCTTTTCTGCAAATAGATGTTTCCCCCGTTTTACGGAAATATAAACCTGTACTATATTATTTTTATTATTAACAACGATCAAAATAGGTAAAATCGGACATCTACGCATCGTAACATGGTACATAATGGCTAATAGCAAGCTGATATGAAAGAGAAACAATTCGAGAAATGACTTCGCGCCTACATACTCACGAAATTAGTTGTGTTGCTGATTAAGGTCCCCAGTTAAAACTGGATCAGATGACGAAACGTCACGAATCTATGGAAGGTTTACAAAATCAGATCTTGTCAGAAATGGCTTGAGTGCCGTGGGAATGCTACCATTTTTACAGGTAGTCCGGCTTGACCAGTCTCTCTAGTTTCAGTGGCCCGGTGAAGGTACTGATTGTTAGGGCGATACTTCGCGGTACTCAGATCTTTTGTCAGTACGAGACAATGGATTACTAAGTGATGTAAATACTATTGATTCCCTCTATTTACGCATGTTATGTTTTATTGATCTACTGTTGGCCTCGTCTAATCAGGGGTATGGCCCTTCAAACCGCCGCATCGATAACTAAATGAGAAAAACGCTTGTATTAAGGCAACGTATTTTCCAAAACAATGTCTTTATTCTAGTGTACGCTGGGGTGCGCAGGTCTAGCGGTTGTTGTCAATACACAATGATTCTTCTATATGAATATCATGATTCTGGCAGCATCGTATGTAAATTTAGAGAACTGAATTGTTCGATTTAATGCAGACGTTTTGACCATAGCTTTACGTTTGGGACAAAGCACCGAGTGAACTTATGAGTTCATGGTGGAAGAAAAGCCCATGAGGGCAATACCACTGTTGCACGGCTTCTAAGTAACATCCCTAACGAATATTAGAACATTTAAATACTATAATTGGAAACCAATAATGGGAAAAACCACCCTCAATTAGCAGCGATCGCATCCATGTTTTACATTGAAGCCGCAACCGATATGCTGAGCGGCGTCCACTAAAGGTTCTTCATTTATGAAGTGGTTTACTCCGATCAGTTAAACTAAATCCTTTAAAGACCATGTGAAAGCTTGTGAAGAACGTGTGATCCCATGATCACAATTGAACATAAACGATTAACGATAGTGCTCGACTAATTAACTCTGCCTGATGCCTATCCCTGATGTTGATGGTGGCCTGTTCCCACTTTTCTTAGTAAGGAGTATCCTTTGTTTGTTGTTTTGAGGAAAAAAAACAAACAGTTCATGGTACACTTGAAAAATGTAAAGAATATATTATAGAATAGAACGATTCACATTTAAATGAGCTCCCTCTTTCGTTAAGGACTTTTGTAAACCTTTGCTTAAAAAATCAACAAAGCTATTCATACAATTGGATCTCGTCATTATTAAACATCGATCATCATCACTTTAATTCACTTTTGTTAGTAGCATAGATATAATAATATGTTGCCAGAAAATGAAACATTTTTTGATCAATTGGCGATGCATTATTAAGTCTGTTGTGTTGATTATAGGTCGGTGACGCAGCTCAAAGCCGATGCAAGCTCCGTTGGGGGTCTCGGCCCCTTGGGAAACGCTGGTGACCTAAATTGTTCGGATTCGCTGTTTGACCTCAACCGCGCACCAGACATCATCCAACAACAGCCGGCCAATACAGGACATCGAGGCCTGGCCGGCGACACGATGGACTTGAAGCAGCTCGGCAAGATAAAAAGCGCTGAGCATCCTCGTCAAGTCATCTCTACGAACAGTCCAGGTAGATTGACGGGCGGTAAGGCCGGCCATCATCAGACAGTCTATCCCTCACCTAATCTTTAGTATGCCCGCACTTACTATTGCCGCTACGGCTCAATTGCGACTACGGGCGTCCAATGGAATACTGTTAGATAACTTTTTGCGGTTTGAACACACAAATAGTTAAGTGATTCAACTTAGTAACCAATACGCGAAGAGATCCACGGAATAGGATTCAGAACAATAAGACGATTGAACTCTGCAACCTGGAACAGTGAATGAGCGGTGCGATAGTTGTGGATAGTATTTTATAGCGGGATCTGATTTAAAAGCAGCTCAAGTATATTCAAATAAGATATACCTAAAGAAAGACCGTAGGCAGACGGACCACATATTTGGATGAGACCAAATTGTCCACTTTGTTTTTCCTCTGAAGTAAACCGAGTAAAACGCTATGTACTGTGAGTCAACTAAAAGGCAGCACAAACGTATATCGATAGATTTTCATTTTAAAATATATATGCATACGTTATATATAAGGGATACGGCGCTTTAATTGGGATTTTTTAACGCTTTGTTTCTAAAACAATACCTGAATAGAAACAAGCAATTTCAAATAAAATAAAGTATAAGCTTTATAGATAAAGGAAAATAACAATGTTATTATCGGCGTATACAAGCACTATTTACCGCAGTCACTCTTTCGACTCGGGGCCTAAACTACTCACCATTGTTTTTTATAATTTTTTTAAGATATTTGCTTCATTAATTCGTAGATGAGCTCTCAATAGTGAGCGTGCGTTAGGCAATATTTCAAATGCTATAAGCAAGAAAGGAATTAGCGAAATTAAATTTTAGGCTAACGAAAGGCCGGACGTTCTAAGACTGCAACATACAAAAGCACAAAAAGCCTTTTTGAAACTTATCTGGACGGTCCACTTGATAAATGGTATCTTCCTTTGTATTTCTTGAAGAAAAACTCTAGGTGTATAAAACGTGATTGGTTTTTTGAGCTATTTTGATATATTTTCAGTCTAAGACCTACTGAAGCCCTCGTCGGGTTTTTCAGAAGCCGCACGAAAACTAGCAATAAAATAGACAGCCGATTTCTAGCAGAAAACCAAATCTTTGATTTCGGTAGGGGGTCCGTTTAGCGTGATGAAATTGGGCAGTAGCTCGCTCTTGTTCAAATCGACGCATTGGCTTTTACCACAAACAGAGTCTCTTCTATTACGAAGAGCAGCCTTATGACAAACAGCTCGCCAGAGTTTATTCTAGTTTAAGTGCTATATCCTGTGAATGCATATCATAGCAGGTCACCGGCATCGGTTCAGTCCTCCATCTTTCTTCCACCACCAGCTCTTTACTTTGACTTAGATGTTTTGCAGCTGCGGCTTTTACAAAGTATATGCTCACTTTCGTCTGAGCATCGGTGATACTTCAACGCAATACGTTCCTGGCTGAGATTATAACTACGACGTTAAATTCCATCTGAATAACAAGTAAACAAACTTTCTTTGGGTAAACCTTTATCTATCAGTATCGTTTAGTGATGGTTTCATTATTTTGTTCTTAGCAAAACCAGCCGATAACGTGAGAAAGGGTATAATATTTTTAATGGACAAAACTACCCATTTATAACGTAAACAATATTGTATCTCTCAGATTTTACAACTCATGAGGATGGCGAATGTGGCTTATTCTACACTACCTCGACGGGAGGTCTCATAGGGGGTGGCGTGAAAAGAGGGGCAGCTAGTGCTCATTCCACGGAGCTATCCCTCACCGATCCAGTCGTTAGTCCGGTACGTGATTGATCGCATCTTCTGGAACTGACTGCAATAAAGATAACGCTCTTATTTGTCTACATAATAAATACAGAACTGTAACTATGGAAAGCAAGAAAGGCACTCTATGTCGAAAGCCAGTTGAGAAGCAAGAGATCTTCTCTCCCTCTCTCTCTCTCTGTCTTTTTTCTTTTTTTTTTTGTTCAATAGAAAAATAAATATAAAAATATAGAAAATTAATACAAATTAGAAAATAACAAAAACACTAAGTTTACACCTAAATCAACTACTAAATCGAAGATGAGTTAACTTGCTTGTTCGTGATATCTTACTAAACCAGATTGTTCGAACTGTTTTATTTGGCGTCGTTGCTAACCGTTGCTTCAGGCGCCTAAATCTAAGAACGAGGCGGGCTGTGTTTATGCCTGGTTTAACGTTAAATTGTTATTTAATTATTCACCTCCAGGGGTACGGAGGATTCTCAGTTGGTGGAGCTGGGGACCTGAGTCACGAGTCCGCCGCCGAACTGCTTGCAGATACCTGTGGTACTTTACGAAGAAGCGGCAATGGAACCAGCCACAACCAGCATAGCAACAATACCAGCAGTAGAGCCCACAGGATCCCACAGGTAAACACGAAGTCGTTTATGAAACCACTAACATATATATAATATATATATATATATATACATTCATATAGAGTAAATAGTCCTTTAGGTGTGATAGAGTCAAATCTATACTCTGTAGAAATGGTTTATAAGTGGAGAACGTAGTGACCTTTCTTGCTGTAATGTAAAGCAAGACAATGTGGCAATATGCGGACCTTTTATCTTATTATGTGCGCGTCGATTAAACAACCTCCGTCTGAATCGTAATTCTGATTACTTTAAGTATCAACACAGAAGTTCTTCGGTACGTGGTGGCGTCTCTTAAGACGTAGTCTGCATTGCCCTTTTTATTTTATATATATTTTTTTTGAAAGCTAAAATACTAGTCTTATACCCAGAGACGTCATAAAGATTTCCCTTGCCAGCTCCGCTCGTTCTGCCAGCTCTAAATGAAGCTTATTATCTACCTATGGCTGTTAGTGATTAAATAGTCGTACAAGGGATACATACATAAATATATATACACAGGGTGGGGCAAGCTTTCTTGACCACTTGAGAAAAAGTCAGCCATCTGTTTGAAGATCTTAACTTTACATCTGCCAAAGTAGCAACAGAATCACATATAATAGAAATGCAAAATTTCTCTTGATTTTCAGGAATGAGAGCAATAAAATGTTGAGAGGAAAAATCTTATTTTTATTATCAAGTAACTTATTCTCAGACTATTAAAAAACTATATATGCGAGCGTATGGTCTATCTAAATTGACCGTGTTCCACGGCTTTCCGCAGTCAGAGACGCGCAACGATCCAGGCACGAAAGAGATAGAGAAAAGGGAATTAAACCATATGTAGCACTTGCATGGCTTTGCAGGTAATTGCAAAAACTAAGCAATGGCTTCGTCCATTGTGCGTCGAACGCTGAATTGGTCAGTCTCAGTTATCGCTACTATTGTCTGCGAACGAAAAACAAATAGATTTTAGAAGCTATGTAAATTCTATCGTCGAGTCTGCTCCTTTCTGTTCCTTCTGTCTACGAATTGAGACTGTGCACGTTTTCGAAAGTTCGTCGGTGTCAAAGTGGAGCGAGAGGGAGGCGTAGGTGCGTCCATGACCGATAAATATCGATTTTTGCTTATTCCTGGTTTCTGTTTCTCAGTGCCATGAGGCTTGAACGATAACTGACCTAGCAGACCAGTCGGCATTGGCTAGCAAGCATTAGATAGATCGATGAAAAGGATATTAATTGTCCCAGATAAAAATTGTGAACCACCATTGTTCATGCAGACAAAACGTAACACCATTCAAAGGAAGGATCGTAAGCAAGCGGATATTCAACATGCGTCTCGGAAGAACATGTCGAAAAATGATCTTGATCGATAGAAAATATTGATTATTCCTTGCATCCGGTGGGCATTTCTTTGAAGCACGAAAGTACGCAAATGTAGTACTTTTTTTTTTTTTTTTTTTATCAAAATAACCGCTGCCAATGACCTTTGTATCGTACTGGTCTGATGGCGAAGGCAGAGGAAATCATCTTTGAACGAGGAAGCTCGCTGACGGGCTAGTAAAAACAACTGCAACATCAGCTTTGCGGTTCGTGCAATAGCAATAATATATAGATAGTAGTAGCTTTATTGATCATTAATATTCACAAATAACAGACACAGATGGAATACTGAAAGACAAACAATCAGACTCAGTATTGGGGCCTTACGCAGATTCGAAGGAAGACTGAAGCTACAAACACACCCAGGTAGCATTCGATTTTAACATGAAGTTGAAGTAGATCGAACCATCTGGTAAAGTCGCAAAGCATAGTGAAAACAACTACCAGTTAAACGAAGATAACTGTATCAAAACATTGCTATGGTAGTAGTCTGTGCTCACCGTAATTTTCTGAGTGTCGCATGTGTCGCGATCTACTATAGAATCTAACAAAGAGCTGGATTCGTGAAAAATCCCACCGTGTCCTCGGCTTCTATATGTCGTTGCAGTTTTTCTCTACAGATTATATAGGCTTAAATTGTTTTTTTCTCCAACTCGTAAATAAAAACCATTAATTTTTCGAAGGGCATCAAACTGTCATGTCAAGACATTAGACTGGCTTGCACGACAGTAGATATTGAAACTCAAAAGCTTTGTCTATTATGCCTGCTATAGTACAGGATAGGTTCGATAGCAGCGTGATGTTGAATCTTTTAAAAATATATTACACTACAAACACAATGAAGTTTGCCCCACTAGGTGACTCAATGTTGGCCTGCTTCGTAGTAGTCAGATAAAAAGGAAATAGTGTCGCTTATCGATCGCCTACACTCGATCACGCAGAAAAGCATGGATAACTATCATAGGTACCTTTGCACCGATACGCATCGTTGTACACCTCGTTTATCATACATGTCTACAATTATCGGTAAAATAGAGAACATCGATATAAACAGCTAATTGTCTTTTACGATCAAAGATCACTTATTAGGTATTTATCTATGATTAACGAGGGTCCACTCCTTTCTGTGCTACAGAGATTCGATTCCGGTCATTCGACTGAATCGTTGCAATCAACAGCTGAGAACTGCTATTTGTATATGTTTTGCCTAATAAACGTAGCTGGATAGGCGTACCTAAAAGATACATTTTCGCTTCAAAGGACCCTTGGCGCGGCATAGATCCTATTGCCATCCGGCCTTCGAGGCTAGTCTCAATATGAATGAAACTCGACAAGTGCTTAGATTTATCGGTCTGTCCGCTGTCCTCAGGTTGATACTGGGTCCGATCCATATTGTACCCAATTCTAAATTCTGTCGGCTTTTTCCCGTATGATCCTGCATATATGAGATTATTTCACACCTTGGCTATATATTTATTATCTCTGGATACTTTTTGAGTGTGCAAGGTTAATAACGATGACCATATCCTATCGATCAAACGTAGTTCTGCTGATTCCTATTCGAGTTGTTGTTAGAACTAGGCGTGTTTTTTCTCTAAGCCATTATTATATATATTCATGTGAAAAAAAAACTCCGTAGCATCGAACTAGTACACACAGCCTGTTGTTGCCCCTGACTGGACATACAACGTTGACTGGATTTAGACGTACACGAACATGTGCGCGTCCGCTGTCAGGCTGTGCGTACATTCGCTCCTTTCGAACGCTGAGCTGGCAAGCACGACGGTAGAACGTACCTCATCATTGTTACTGTTGTGAACAGTATATCGGCGTCGGCCGACACGATACTCTCTACGATACAACAACAAAATCATTAACATGCGGGCCTTATACGTAGACGGTGCGAATAACGAGGGATAAGGGCAAAGGAAGACGGAGAGGTTCATGAATATGGAGCTGGAATTGAGGGGGTGTAGAGTTCAGATCTTAATGCGTGTCTGCTTGTGAACCGCAGATTGCCCAAGGCGTCTGGTGGCTGTTTGGCTTGAGAAGCTGACTGAATTTCAAAGTAAATTAACGAACTAGATGAATCGGTTTGTAACTGTTGCAGCGTTAGTAGGATTAGCATTTGTTACTGGCATCTGTGATAATTTATCACAGAAACAGAATATGCGCGCATGTATGAATAATTAATCATTGCATTGAACATTATCTGAATTAAGATGATGTATTTGTCGTGGTAGTATGTTAGATAATAGAAATCGGAACTCGGGTGATTCATTTGCTGCGTGTCTGACAGAATTTTATACGCAAGCCACCCTGGGAGTGTACGCTGGTATTACGAACGAGGTGCGCGTGTACTTGTGTACTCAGCGATCAACGATCTTATGCAAACGACATTCAATTAACTAGAGGGACAATTATTAACTAAATCATCAGTCTAGCGCGTTCGATATTTGAATTCTCGTTTCAGTCCGCGGTTGATCTCTACGCCACACTCCGAACTCAACAGCGTTCTCAGCGTAAGCCTGGCTTGCTGCAACTCAGCAATGTTGAGGAGATCTGTAGTTTGACCAATGGCAGCTTGGGGGGAGCTCCACGTTTACTCCCTGGCGGCGGCGGCGGCGGCGGCTTTGGCGGAGTAGGGCATGGCGTGCACAGTGACCCGCCGCCTCCACCATCGAATTCGAGTCTACTCGATCAACATTTTCGGCACGTGAAAACAGGCCTCACCAGCGGTGCGATAGTTAGTCCTACTTCGCATAGCCGTCAGATTTCTTCTTATCAACAGCAGCAAACACAGCCGCATCCGGAGCAACATCAACAGCAACTCCATCATCATTCGACATTGATAAGCGCGCCGCCCTCAAGCGGGGCTCAAGCGAAGTCAACACCCGGGTCTATGTCCAGCGTACCCGGAATGACGTCCATGATTTCACCGATGATCTCGCCGTCCTCTGTTGGAATCGGTGTTGGCCTCAATGGTGGCATCAACAGTAGTAACTCAACAGTTAGCTCCGTTACTCTGGCGTTATCGTCCACGACATCGGGAACGGATGTGGTCCCCCCACTGTCCCAGCAACAACCTGGGGATGAAATTTCATTTTTAAGCACGCTGCAAAAACGCAAGCGGGTGGCACAACAACAGCATCAATCGAATAACCAGACATCGACATCATTGTTACAGCTGCAAGAGGATAACGCCGTCTCGGCGACGGCGGCGGCGGCGGCAGCAGCAGCAGCGGCAGCTGTTGGAACGGTAGGAACTTACAACTCCTCGCGGGAAAGTTGTGTGTGATTAACAAATTCTCTTTTCGTGAGTTGGTGCGTGTGTGAATGCGTGTATGGTTGTGTGTTTGCGTGCGCGTGTGTGTGTGTGTGTGTATTGTAAAATAAAAAGTGAATCGGATGAGGATGTAAACTATGCTGAAGAACGCGATCACGCTTAAGGGGAAAAAGTGGATAGTGAAAAAAATTTATAAAATTAAATCTATCTAGCAAACGTCGAGGAATACAAAGGACGATGTAAAGGCGTTGAGATCGAAGCAGTTACAAATCGAAAATCAGCAGGTGAATAGTGATGAAGAAACTGAAAATGATGAGAAAATTAAATTGAAGCAGAGTGGTATGTATAAGGTAGGCACCCGAATTGAGCTAAGGGTGAGTATATAGTTTTGCGGAAATGAAGCTCGATTAGGCAAATATAGAATAAAGCAAGAGAAAAATGGATACGACGCGAAGGCTAACAGTTGAAACGATGGTGGAACAAGAGGCAAGGTGGTAGTCAAAGCAAGTCAAATTCAACAGAAAAAGACGGAAAGGCAAGCGATTATTTTCATTTTTTTGAGAAATTTTTAATAACAGACGAGAGTCAAAAGCGAATCGTGTGTCAAAATCACCCGACAACTGTGCATAAACCAACAGTATAATTAACTTAGGTATGCATGAAAATTTGGGCCGCCATATTTCGTCGAGTATGCTTGCTAATATATATTAATTGGTATAATAATATAATTATAATTAAGACACGACTAAAAGGATGATGCTAATCAATAGTAACATATTAGCTCACAAATTCGGTAAGACTTCTTCCCGGTCAGATATGTATTGAAATCGCAGTATTAAATAAAATTGAATATTACGTAGAAGTCACTAACAACTATGCGACATAACAAATGCCGACAAGAGCGTATGCACACTATTGCTAGATAAGAAAAAATTCCTATCTAAAATAAATCGTTTTTTCAAAATTACTGGGCCATCGACGGAAATGAAAAGTATAACACGACACAGACAGCCAGGTACGTAGAGGTCTACAGCAATTGCTAATGTAATAAGTGCATGAAAATCCAGGAAAAAGTACATAGCAGACGAACACCGAAGCGATAAAGGATTTACTCTTGCGAATCTGCGCGTAGAATGGCGGGACGGAAAGGGAATAATCCAGCCGAGAGCTGGCAAATGGAATGTCGTAATCCGTGTGAGTACTAAGGTAGCTTAGAATAGGTAAAGAGAAATGATAGACCCGATATACTGAGGCGTGCTGAGCGTGTATCCTGTATGCAGGGTTCATGCTTCACCTTGGAGGAGAGCACAACAAAGAAATGGACTAGAGTAAAATTAATGTGTACATATAATCAGAATATATTGTATCTTCTTGCGATAATGTGTATAATTGTATTTTGAAAACTCTTTGTATAAAAAAAAAACGAAAAAGAAAAAAAAAGCAAAATTGGCGGCAAAAAAAATTTAAAAAGATGAGAGAGGAACAGAGGGAAGACAAAAAAAAGAATGCAAAATAGCAAAGGCGGAAATGGTGACAAAATCTAGACTGATAAAGATGACTGTGTTGAGAAGCTGTATGCGAAAAAATTGATTAGAAGCGCGCACTGTTAAACAGGTCAGATAATGGTGTTTGGCCAAATCATGGATGGAGTGGAAGTTGTCGGATAGACAACTCAAGGACAAGAGAAATTGAGCACTTGGCCTGAAAGACAACGCTAGTGACACAAATAACATAAACATAAATCAACATGACACGAAATAAAATACGGAAATAGATTGTAGCCGTGTGTTAATTATGTTTTTCTATTCTTCATTGAATTAAATACGATCACAATCGATTAAAGTGAAGTCGAATCGAACGGAATTAATAAAATGGTTTAAATATATGAATGATACAATAAATATGACACTGTGATGGTCTCAATATAAATGATTTTTTTTCTAGCGGTAGACAAAAAGGGAATGTGTGGGTATATTAACGCGTGTCCTAAACACCGTGGAAATCCAGCTTTAGACTTTTCGAACTTTCTTCTTCTTCTTCTTACCGGTTCAATAGAGAGCTCTGACGAGAGCTAAATTTAACGGACCTTACTTCTATATTCTATAATACGCGATCCGATTAACTGGACGATTTAAAGGCAACTTGTTATACTACTGATAATCTTCAGTATTTTAAAAATAAGCAAACAAGAGATGATTGAAAACATAAATATGCATGTGTTATCATTTGAAAGAGATCATCGACGAGCTAAATGGATCAACTAGATAAGCGACGTAAAGCTTTTACACATTGTTGCTAGACCCTAGTGAATAGGTTGCTGGACTTTGTCCCTGATTGTTCCAAATGACCTTGAAAAACTTCATTAAGCCTAAAGTACGGCAATCGGAGTCTCTTCGATAATAGAGCAGATAAAAACCGTCTGATTTCAAAGCGCGTTAATTGTTTGAAAATTAGCTTTTATACTAATGAAAAGTAAGCAAAAAATTAGTTCTAAATGGGCTAATTGAATTTGCGTCTGGAAAAAGATCGATTCGTTTACAAAACAAAAAGTAAAAAACAAATTTTGTTTTTTCCTTCCAGTAAGCCGCGTAGCATTTCACACGAAAGACGAGAACTTGCTACTACGTTCTTCACCGAATACATTCCACATATCCAGTAAGAAAATGAATCGCTTTATTGCAGACTTTGAGAGTTTACCCCCCTTTTTAGGTTTTGTATGCTTCGTAGTGGCCAGGATTTTGCTTGCCCCCTTTTTTAAATTAACAACATGGGTTTCTACTTATGTACTGTGGTGAATAGGATCAAGTGTACCCTCATCCGAATATACAGAGCACGAACTCTGACCAAACTCAGACTTCTGTTACTTCTAGACTAAATAGTAGTCGACATACTCATCTCAGTCGTTTAGATCAGCTCAGAGTTCCTGTGGAACCGAAAGGTATGTCTGGGCATACCGTAATACAAAGTTTACCTGCGGCGTCGAGCACGCATAGATACTAGCGCGGACTACGCAGTCAAGCAGCCAAACACCCACCCACCCTCGCGACTTGCAACGATTATATATCAACGTCGAACTGTTCTTCGTTTAAACGATAGCTCAGGGAAGTATCTGAGGGAGCCGTTTCTATAGCGCAGTTTGTATGATTGCTGGCATGCGTTCGTCGCAGTTTTATTAGGGTTCGCAAAAGCCCTAGAATTGAGTCCTGGAAAGGGGATTAGTGGAGGTCTAACAACTGAGCCTGTCGGGCCTTGCTTTAAGGCATCCACGATCATAAAGACCATTATCACACAGAAAAAGATAAATGTCTCGCCGCGAAAAAAAGAGTAACGAGTGTTCGTATAACACTATCGTTCTGTTCTATTTAATTATTTACAGGGCGTAATAGGAGGCTGCCGAAAAGAAGTATCGTTGGCTAAAGAAAAAGAAAAACTAAGCCAATTGCACCGCCATAGTTCAATAGCACTTCGTAACCAAAGAGATTCTAAGTATAAAAAGATGTTGTTCATTCATTTCGTTATACAGAACCGTTCCAATTATGGTAAAGGCAATGGCCTTTTGCAGTTTCACACAAACAAAGTCAAATAGCACATACTTCTACAACTGATGATGGCCTCATGTAGCCTAGATTGTTAATATAATCATAATTAGTAATTTTACCTATACCTGTTACAAAGTAAATTGTACCTACTGCAGAGAAAACATGATCTAACCAAAAATACAGTTATAATCATTGAAGTATGATGTGAAAATGGAAATAATCATTCATTTATTGCATGTCCCGTTACATGCTTGCCGATACATACAGAGAGGCTATTCACAGGTGCCTTACATAAAACGTTGATGTTTAATTAGCCAGAGAATAGTCCCATCATCGTCTAGCTCGTTTCAAGAGCCTTTCGCCTAATACTCGCAGGTTAAGGCTGTTATAAAGGATTTCTTCGTTTTTCTTCGTTTTCAATACTGACTTCGTGCAGAACTTGCTAGAGTAGCGTTAGACTGAGTTAACTCAGGATTCACTTACTACATATTATACCTACATACATACATACACGACTAATTAATCAATGATCTGTGTCTAGAGCCCTTGAGATGGCTAGGTTTAGTCTTTAATGCGATAAAGCCTGCAGAAGTTAAGCGTACAAAACTTTAAACCAGATGACTAAACAAGATTTACGAATAGTAAAGATTAAAAGGACCCCGAAATTACTTCTTGGGCGTTCATCAAATTTAAAAGTAGGTTTTTGCAAGTTTAAAAAACCTCCTCTCCCACTTCCCCTTACTTACTATTTGCGTTTGATACACGATTTAAAATACCCTCGTCCCGATCGATTAGTGTGCTCTAACAGTGTTATGTTGTAAGCAATCTCAACTCAAAAAGATTCCTCAAATATTGATGTTGCAGATAAAAGAAAAAAAGCACACTTTCAACGCCTCAATGTACTGTGCGTTTCAGCGTAGCTAAAACGCCGGCGAAATAGTCCAGGACGGTAACATTGAAGTGGCGTATACATCTCAACATGAATCTGGAATCGGAATAAGTGGCTCCAAAAGAAAAGCCAAGGTCAGAAGTTTAATCAGATCTTCATCCAAAAAAAAGGTTATGCTTTGTGCTTGGTGGGACTGCGAGGGCCTGATCCACTGGAAATTGCTTTCTATGAACCAGACAGTTGACCGGCTTGTTTATTTGGCCCAATTGCATCGAATCTATTCAAAAGAAAAGGCCCGATAGATGAGGTCAGGCCATCCTGTTCGGGAATCAGACGACAAACATCGTCAAGCAAATCCTCCTAGACATCGAATGGGAGGCCCTGTTGCAACTCTAATATTTTCCGGATCTTCTGTTGATAAATTTTCACCTACACCATTCACTGGGCAATTAGTTTCGTAGCGATGCCTTTGACACGGATCAAGAACTTAAAACGCGGTCAGTAAATCTGTTCGAAATAAAACCGTTACCCTCTAGCGGGACGTCGAAAGATGGGGGAAAATTGTGGAACATGACAGGATGCACGAGGCACTGTGGTATGTTTAGTAGTTAATCGACAACTTCCTTTCGAGTCTAAGAATATCAAGACAAATGTATCGAAAGCTCAAAGAGTATATTGACGTTTACTAAACAACAAAGTGACAATGATGTGAAAACTAATACTAAATATAGTAATCATTTCCAACGAATCGTCGCAGTTTATGCGGGAATTAGATCTAAGACTCGCGAAGTCTGCCGCTTTGTTTGGGCTGTCATCTGTTGCTTAGACGTAGTCCGACACGCATCGTATGTATTTTCTGCGACAAGATTTACGCTAGTTGCAGCTCGTATATGGATTTCGGCGCTACAAGAAACCTGTAATGCGTCGTGGCTTTAACTTCGTAGAGATGGAAGAAAAGCCAAAAATAGTATCATCATATGATTAGGCTTATTGCATTGGCTACGATACCGTTAGACACGTTTTTATTACTTACTATGAAATTTTTTTTGTACCATCAATTGTTCATAGCATTAGTTGCAGTCTGCTAAACTCAGCGGTTTGTAAAATAACAATTTACAAATGGGTTTCGTTCAGAGTGAACATGTCTAAAAACAAACCAGCCAAACCTTCCAGTCCCCCCCCCCCCCCCCCCCCAGTATCTATAGTCTGATATAAATGAACTCTTCATATATGATGACTTCCGTACACTCTTGAGTACAGCTACCTTCAACAGTGGTTGTAAGAGGGCGCTGTTACTACGTTTCAGACCCTTCCGTGCCGGTGATGGGATGGTTGCAGTATCATTTTTGATCGAAATGGCCGTCCCTGAGCAAGTGATGTTACGCCTTAAACATTTTAGCAGAAAATTTTAAATATAATTGCGTCTTGTATTTTTTTGAACAGTGGCTAAATGAATGAAGCACATTTAAAACTAGATTAAATTTGGCTTGCGTTTACTGTTCCAGAATGGATATAGAGATCCGCTATATCTTATAGAGAAACTTTGAAAAGTTTTCGGCATCTCTATATTCATAGGACACGAATGTTGTTACCTTCTATGGGAATATTCAAAGACGCAAATAACGGTTTCATAATACACATGTATATATGTATATGTTCGACCTCATATGATTTTAACACGGGTTTAGACGAGTCGGCAATGGAGCCCGGCGCAATATCTATAATCTACCTAATCAGGCCACATTTAGACCTTAGCGAATACTGCTCTTCGTATTGGAATCACTTTCTGTTAGGGCAGGTTCGGACGTTTATTGACGAGGCAGTTCGCGCCTTCGACTCCCTAAATATTCTAGGAAATAAAAAAAAAATATGGGCACTAGTATGTAATCGAATTTTTCATGTATCCGAGTTTTGCATTGTTTAGCTCTGCCGTATTTTACTTCAACCGTAATTTGCGCACCATTTAATACGAAAAAGGCGTAGCTTGGTATTACGAAGATCGGCACAACGCATGGGCATTCAGCAATCTGGTTATGCCTAGCGTCATCGCTGGCCTAAAAGGATACTTTGTGAATCAATAGTAAGCAACAGCCGGAAAAAATACAATTCTATTATATTTTATATCATTTTCATTGTAGGAATCAGTTCCTGATAACGTACGCATAACGTATGGGGGCGACTAGGCGTACGTTATCAGGAACACCACAATTAGCAGAGATTTTAAAAAATAATCTAAGTATGAGTCGATGAAAACTTGCATGTTTATTAATGCGTAGTAACTGATAGAATTATATTATCCTGCCCTCAGCAAGCAGACGTTTATTTTGAATTTAATGCCGAATTGTTTATTAAATTATTATTAAAAGCTAATTTGTAAAGTAGAACTGAACGTCACTTGTTTATTGTAAAGTACTATTTGAAAAATTCATTAGCATGCCTTCACCCGAATAGCCCCTAGACGAAATTTCGAGATTACTACATGGAGATATTTGTTAAAAATCAATAAATATAGAATACGCTAATTAAACCACAAGTACAGTATCATCGTTATCGGTAACAGAGTATAACCCGTTGTAGACACAAATGCGTCTGGAAAAGGACGTCGATGAACGGTAGACCAGGACGCAGCTGTTGACTCCTTTTCAGCTCGCTTCGTGCTGTTGCCATAACTTAGCCGTCGGCAAGGATTGTAAAAGATTCGGTCCAAGGCTGTTCCCTTTAGGGGAATATGAAGGCTGTTCCCTTTAGGGGAATATGAAATCATTCTCATTATGCCGATTCACAGGCATTGTACGAGTTAGCTAATTGCACGTACAGAAAGCGAACCAGAACGAAATGTCCTTTACTGTACCAGTGACATATTGAGCGCTACCGGAGGCGTTTAACGGACCTTGTCATTCATGATCTAGATAGGTAGGGCGTTTTATTAATTAAGTTCCTCCTAGCTTGGGGTTGCTATCACTATTATTATTAATCGCGTTTAGCTTCACCAAATATGTCATGTTATATTGAAGCACCTGTACGACATCCAGTGAACCCACATGGATTCCTGACTTGCATCTCGTGAACCGATTTTACAAATTTTGTTCAATATCTTTATAACGTTTTAATAGTACCTATTTCTAATGAAAAGTCATTGGACATGCTCAAGAAAGTCACTTTTTTTAAACAACATTTAAATTCAGCCTTAGTCCGACTAGGTGCTTATTGCCGTTTGTTTATTATAACATCACTTTATTTTCCGTATTTGCACCATTCTCGTTCGTAACAACAGCTGTACTACCTCACCTCTGCAGAGCACCTCACTTTGTATACATTATATTGGATTAAGCCACACAGCCTCTTGGATCAGCTGGTTGTTGTCACCAGCAGGTTCGGATGGACGCGACCCGCGCACGTCTATGGGGTAACGTGCATGTATGTTATTCTGCCTAACACTGTTCATGCAACGGCAAACCATCTGACCATTAAGGTGTCGTAAACTCGCGCAAGCATCACTCGGTGTTAGCATACCACGCTGCGGCTTGCCAATCCGTCCTACCCACTGCAAGAAGTCAATCAAGACATGTTTCTCTAGTGGCACCGCGGGGGGCTGTTCTAACGAGCACCTCCCTGAAGCCTTCCCGGTATCCAGGTTTCTGATGCAATCAGAGCTTCGTTGCGTTGCACTTTCTCTCGTGCGGGACGACGAGTAGCTATCGAAGGCGAATTGGCACTTCTGACGTCCGTATAAGATGACCACCAAACAAAAGCATACGGCAAAAACGAGGAACGAAGCCTCGTTGGGGGGTAACAGTGGTGTGTATACGGAATGGGGGTCGATCAAAAAGAGGAGACCGATGTTGGTACAAAACGACTCGAATTGCACCGCATATACAGTGACAAAACAAGAACTATCAGTAAAAGTCCTTTAGAACTCAATGCAGGTAGCAAATTGGATAGAGAAAGTCGACTGCTCGAAGCAAATTTTTGATATATTTCGGAGGTGAAGGGTATTTCGTTCAACAACATGCAAAAATGAAATAGTTGTACAGTTTTGATCGCTGGATACTGAGTCTACAGGAAATTCTGCATACTTCTAGGCTCAAGCCGTTATCTGGTAATACTTGTAATATATATATATTGTGTGTATATTTCCTCAGACGCGTATATTGTGTTAACATGTACGATAAATAACTATTATGGCGTAAAAGTAAGTAAAGTACATACGGACTGACAATGCTTAACTTGCTCATGTAAAAATCAAATCTTGCAGCCACTTCCCGGAGTAGACATTGTCTTACTGTAACACTAATAAAAGAAACGTTTGAGTTATCAAGGCTGCTACTGCTATAATCGAGGATCGCTTTAGAGGGCTGATCTTTAGCTCTTTAAAATCTTTAGAAACGAAGTGTACCTGTGCCCGAACTCGAACTCGTTGTTTGCTTAGCAAATATCAACAAAACACATGACATCAGTTCACGAAAAGCAAATACCGGTGTGCAAATCTAGCGTTTATGTGGTAACAACAGCACAGAACAAGATTAAAGGTTTGCTTTCCAATCCTGTCAATTTCATCTATTTACCATTTCTGCAATTTAATGGTACGATCGATATAACTTGACTTATTACAGATGACTCTCAGCAGGGTAGCAACGCTGGGCCCTCAGATAACGATAGACGGTGGAATATACACGCTATACTTTAAGAAAGGTAAGAGGAGAATGCGTGTCAAATGGGCGGCCAATCTGTGGACAATGTCACCCCGACTGTATTAAACGGATTCAGTGTTTTCTTATGGAAAATTTGAAGACAATTTGGAAAATCGGTATTATGGATGCCCCTAACATGATTACAATTCTGTATGTAGTAGCATTAAGAGCAGAATTTCTGGCCATAAAACGAACCTTATTTTTACTTTCGTAATATATTAAAAAAGCGAGCTATTCTACAACTGTCAGCTAAAAGCTACCTAATAAATACGACTTCTTGTAGAAACACTTCGGGTATCTCGATGCCAATTACGTTTGCGTAATCAACTTGTTTCAATCACGAACCGATGCTAAGTTACTGAATTAGTCTTGAGAAGGTCATCGCTCAAGTACATCCAAGAGTAAAACACACACTAAGCCTCACTTAGGAGCACCAAGGTGATATTCGACATCTCCAGCACCTTCTCTGAAAATGTCCTGCCACGATAGACTCTTTTACAGGTACATAGAATTATTCCGCGTTCAAAATTTTCCTCCACCGTTGGACAGTGTACGAGGTCACTTTACCACATAAGCTATATTTACCTTGGAGGAAAAACTGGAGAAGTAGCGTTTATATTCACTGCTAGCGGACCTCAGAGTTCACAGCCTTAGTTTAATTCATGGAACTTGCCGACCTCCAAGCCTGTTCGGCAGTAGGCTGCCATGTAAAACCCACTGAAAAATATATATAACGATGTGTAGCCTAACTGCAGACCACCCGCCCGCGTATGCCCCTTTACTTCTTTTGAACAAGGCGAACGTATAGGCAGTAGTTCTGATCTTTGTTATGCATTGGCTTTTGCTGTAAGCGATAGGTGCTTCCACCAGTGCAAAAGAGGAGCTGGTAGGCATAGTCGTTTAACGTCCTGATTCGGCAAGAAAGATTTATGGAAAGGGGTCCCGCAACAAAACGCGTGACAGCAAGGCCATCTGCCACAGTGACGAAAAATTGATGCTTGGACGAACTATACTAAAAAAATTCAAAGAGGAGTAAAGCATAGGGGAAGGCTATATATGGGAAAACTAAGCGTTTTTGATTTTGCTATCGTCTGCAGTACCGGACTTGAAATTCAAAGCATTTATTTATATGGCTTTATATCAAGATGAATAAAATAAATTACCGTTGTCATTCTAGTCCTTTCTATATGTCCATTCTAGTCCTATATATATATATATATATATATATACATATATATATACATATATATATATATATATATAGCATTTAATGCCTTACTTGATTAATACTAAATAAGCAAAGTAATTTGTTTTGGACGGAACTGTTTAAATCGAAAATTATACGTACATTGTCAGTTAGGTTTGCGTCATATTTACACGCTTTAGATGCACTGGCATATGACTACATTGGGACAGTTTGTTACCAAATCTCAGGCAATAGCGTTACACATATGTGATACGACACTCAACGGAACGACTAATCTATCACAGCGGTTTAATTATATTACGAACTAATACGGTCCACGCAAGTCATATTTTTATTTTTTCAATTATACAATATTATATGTAGACATTTTTTTTCCAGGAAAGTGGTCAATTCGAAAATCTAATATGGCCCTGCAGTTTTTATTGGGCCCGACATTTCTGCAAAATTGGCTGAATTTGAATAGCTGCTTCATTGGCTCGCTGTAGCTTCTGCGAAATTTCTGTGTTTTCTAAGGCATGACTTTTATATCTATGTGTATATATATGGTGCGACGTCTAAATCTGAATACACTTTGATGGGCCTGCATCCGTTATTTTTGGTACAAAACGAGCCCGTTTTTTTCTCTCGTATAAAACAACAAACTCATCATGGATAAAAACGTCAATATCGGAGCAATAAAGCACCATTATCCGATTTCTTCGTGTCAGGAAAAGCGTCAGCAAAACTAAAAATTTCAATTTTTTTTTCAAACTCAACAGTGTACTTCGCTGCCAGTTTTCACTTCCGCGGCTGCTGAAAAATTCAAGGAAGATGAAGAAGCTTACGAGTCGCAACGAATCTCAGCAGGATTTGTAAGCTTAAAAGTAAGTTTTACTTAAAAGTTCAAAAAGCGATTTTGGTACACTCGATTTTTTTGCACGGAAATTAGCAGTCTTTTGGAGAGGGGTTATTAAGGACCAATTGTAATAGTCCAAATAATAGACTTTGTCTTCTTTTTGTATATTTCAGACTTAATTTAACTTAAATTTAATAGATAAATTTATTGCATATTTGGGGGTTTTGTTTTGCTATTAACCCAAAATATAACGCTGCTAGAATGTTTTGTTCATATCGTATCTGAGCGACACTTGAGCGAGTTCACCCCCCCCCCCCCCCTACCGATATCGTCTGAGCCACAGTTACCATTATAAGGTTATTTGCAGATCAAAAAAGGGGCATTTAGAAAATGACTAGTGAGTGGTTTAGATATTGAATGGAAAATGTATGTGCGATGGATGGTGGGCATATTGGATATGCATAACTGTCAGGAATGAGTTCCAGCAATATCCGCTTCTGTTCAGGTACAGTCTTGAGAATAAAACATGACAAAACTTCTAAAGTTTGGGCATCGCACCCTGTGTATGTAGATACGAAGAGCCCACTTTTCGAGTTCGAATTCAATATACCATTTTGTGATCCAAACAAGGCAATGACAACATCAAGAGACAGCTCTCTAACGCTATATAATCTACATAATATGGCCATCGCCAAACAAAACAGATATACTTATGTATATTAGGATGCCAAACAGGCAATCGCCGGCTTTTTTTAGTATTTTCCTTTTTGAACTTTTCGTGTGTTGGTAGCTAGGGGGTTATAAACCCCTTTCATCGCCTTACTGGCATTACAACAGTTCAGTCTGAGTTCTAACTTAAACGATAGGTACGTCGGATGCCTAAAGGCAACAGCATTTACGCCATTTCCTACTTGTTTGTCGTAGGCTGTTGTCAAAATTTGAAATAAATGTGGTGCGCATGATGTGGACCTTACAGCTGAAAGTACTACTCAAAAATAACTTACAATAAAATAAATCCAATAATAACATTTTCGATATAGAAAGTACACTGTACTCAACTTGTCGAATGCCATCTTGAATCATCTAACACAAAAATTGGTTAAAACAGTCCTTACATTATGCGGAAGAAATTTCCTGACCTACTTTTGCGGCCACGTTTTAACCCCGCCAAAAGGTTGATGTCGTGAATTTGCTTTTTTTTTTTTTCATTAGGTTTAGACATCATTGGCGTCTAAATTCGAGGCAAAATGTTCGTGATCCGATAAAGTGATACATGGAATAGCCAAGCAAGAAGAGGAAAGTGCCCGCTAACTGTATAATGCTTGACCAGTGGCAAAAGAAAAACGAAGGAGGTCATTATCTGTACCAGTTTAATAAAATATATAGTAAATAATGGTACACTCGTATTCAAGTTGGATATTTACAAATTGCCCACGATAAAAAACACGTGTTACACCAGCTGACCTGGTCTAAACCGCGTATAGAATAGTCGTTACGTCTTCTGCTAAAATGTTAATTAAGAATATGTTGCGAATTACGTGTTATTCATACGCTCTATTTCTTATGAATGGACCGTCTCGAGCCGAAAAAAAGAGGCCCGAGAGGGAAGTTCAAAGTCTGAGTTCCGTCGGCTTCTAACTTCAACACAGAAAACGAATGCACGCATTATTGCCGAGGACGGGTAAGGTCGTAAAAATGAGATAGAAGGGCAACGAGTATATATGTTCTTCAACGTTTAAGTCAAATATTCTTCTCACACTATAATTGATATGACATCTCCTAGTTCAATATAAAATCGCCGTCTACTCTGAGCGTCTACCCTTGTAGATCAACCAATTAGCACAGAAAACTAATCAGAAACTGAGGGCATGCTAATTACTCTCTTAAGTGATACCACAAGAAAACCAACGGATAATTAGCATCTTAACCAACACGACCATGAACAGGAAATATCGTCCAGCTTGTGCGAAATGAGTAATCTATAGAGCCCAGCTGAGGTCATAAGACAGCGACACTGGCGTCAGCTGTGAGTCGAGCAACAAACGCAGAGTTCCTTCTATGCCCGACAAGCATACGGCGGCTATTGCAAAAGATTAATACTGTATTTAAAATCAAGTAGAACTTCGAATATAGAGTTAGACATGGACATTAATGATAGGTTTGTGCTGCCAGCTGGGTTCAGCCACTGCTACCATAGCCCAGTGAAAGCGGCAAGATACCGTTAAACAGATAAGAAATATTGCCTCATTTACCCCACTGAAAACGCAACCACTAATGAATGTTTTTCATTATATGTTTATTATTATATCAGTTTGATTTATAGATAAATACCAGGAGAACGAAAAGTCAAGCGATCCTTTTTACTAGTCCCTCATATCATCCCTCTTCCCAGCACCGCAAACACAACAAGACTCAGTCGATCGCGGCTCGGATTAGAGATTCACGAAGACGTCCATAGGCATTTTAATACCCAACTGGATATAGATCATCCGCGGGTTGTCATTTAACTCATCTCTATCAACTCACCATGTTCCTCTAATCAATATTAATTATTTCTGTTATTCTAGGCCTCCAATAATGTTCAGCGGCCGCCTCGCCTCTATAGGTACAATCCTTAGACTAGACCGCATATTTTGCATTTCTTGCCGGTTGTGGGTAACGCTCAAATATTTCTCAACAGATGTATACGAGTTAAATTGAAGTCCAGAATTTGAGGTACTTTCTTTTGATTCCTCAATGCATACCAGATTTTTTTAAGTCACTGTTAAATCGGTGTTAGCAATAAATTCGCTATAATTTCGTTCATTCTATGCCTCAGCCCCTAGAAAAGTTTCTTGTAGCGTAAATTTTATATATATATATATATCGCCTTCACAGACATATATACCGGCTTCAAACAGTCAAGCATGACTTGCATACGTATGCTGTATCTGCAAGAAGTCTCAGCGAACGCGAAGAGAAGTGCCCGCTCGCATATAAGCTACAGGCCCCGTTATCTGATGAGGAGTGGAATTCATGTGGTCATCTAAACGATCTGTATTATGAACTAACGAGATCGAGCCCTGATTTACCCGCAAAGAGACTACATATTTTGAAGCTTCTTGAGAGGGAAGTAAAGACATCGCCTGGACTCGGATACATCGTGCTCTCTCTATACCTCCGAAATACTTTTCCCACCCTCTTCAAAGCTTACCTTCTTAAAACAGGCACTTCTGTTTTTCTCACTGCTGTTACCCCCAACCCGTCTGCCCGCCCACATCACTATTGCCAGGTGGCACTGATCGCTGATTTGCTGCACGAAACGATTTGCTCGACTAGCTAGCAGGCGTCTGCAGCCGCAAGGACTGGCGACAATAATGGCGACAGCAGCAGCTACGTTCAAGGCACAGACAGCCGGCGATTTGTGCTTGGAACAAGCCGACTTTGTTTTGGTTTCGTCCAGGATGCCATAATACGCGGACAGGCCTGAACGAAAGATATGGAGAACGATAAAGAAGGACTTCCAGGGACCTTCCGCCAACCACGATGAGCTAGCGATCAGGGTTTCTCGGCCTGGCTCCGTTCCTCTCCCCTAATCCTTCAGAACAGAGCGAAGTCTCTGGGATTCCCTTGGCGACGACTCTTTCGACTTGGCAAGGCTTTTTCGAGTAGCAGATGTCACCAAATTGCACCAAATGGAACTTGCCTTTGTGGCATGGCTCTGCGTTTCCTTGTTTCGTCGTTCCACAACAAGACAAAAATCTACACAACGCTACCAAAAGTCTCTACGATACGATTACCATGGTTTGCTTCGGCGCGTCTACTGCTGGCTTACTGACACACATATACACACAGCCATCAATATTTGCTACACCTTGTTTGAAATATCTTGGCATTAATACAACGTCTAGAGCTAATGCCAGGACTAATGCGGCTGCCAAGACGAAACCGCCGGCATCGCCGGTGCAGGGCGGAGAATGTGACACAAGAGGGGAAGGGAAATCATGTTTCAAAAAACGTCAAGCACGTTGGAAAAAATGGGCTTGGAAAAGATTTAATTTCGAGCATCCCAAAAAGACGTAGTACGGAACATTATTCAAAATTAGAAAGAAACAAATATGGATAAACTTGAAAAAAAAAGGTGAATTTTTACTAAAACACCGTAACTTTTACTGCCGCTTGTGGCGGTTCTTAGAAATAAATAAAGTAACGATTAGTGAACTATATTTCATAGATCTATATTTTTTATTTTACTTACACTGTGACACTTCATAAAACTTTCTCAATGGTACACAGATCTACATGTACTTTTATCACATCTTCTTTGTAAAACTAGACAGTGATCGATTTTTTTTTTATATAATCTCGTTCTTGTGGAGCTGTTTTTATATATAGCTTGAACATGTCTTTTCTCGATATATGAAAGCTAAACTGTAGTATAAGCATTCTTGTTTTTTTTTTTTAAACTGACTGCGACACTGAAAAATATTTTATACTGTAAGCCAAAAATATGCTAAATCATCATCATACCTTTTGACGCAACTTTTTTAGAAGGATTTGGCGGTTCCCATTTAAGCGGAAGTGGAATCTCGGAAAGTCACGAGGGGTGCTGCTTCGCTGGTAATTTTACGACTCTGATCGTTTAATTGCGTCGTAAATAATCCTAAACGGGTTGAATCAGTGTGTACTTTCTATACTGTAGAGAGCGGAATACACTATCCACATTATCCTCTTTACGTTTTATAGGTCTTAAGCATATTTTCCGTGTCTCTGCGGTAGCGAGATAATTTCATCCATTATCATTGAAGAAGGATAAAGTAAATATACCGTTTTTAAATGGTTTATTATACTATAATGTATCACCAACCGTGGCTCGTTTTTGACGCGATCTATCCGTTACACGAGTGACACAAACTGAGGTTAAATGACTAAGTCGACCTTGAATTAGCGTACTGTACAAAGATATCGAGAGTGTCTAGCCTTCTAAATTGACTTATGTAGGTTTGACACGTTACATTCAGGTTGGCCTCTGAAGGGAATGGTCGTGCGACACATATGTCAGCGCTGTATCGAACCTCTTATTAGCAACTTACTCAATTTTCAACATATTTCTAGCTGTTAGAACTGATACCTCAACTTTCAGCACGAAATGAAATTTACCTACGTTTCGTTCGAACTGATACCTCAACTTTCAGCACGAAATGACATTTACCTATGTTTCGTTTAATCTCTGCCCAGCTCGCGTGTCGCTCATTTTTATCGGCGAACAGCGTTAAGTAAATGTTTCGAATTCTACGTCCGATACTGCCATTGTGCATCGTTTTAGACTAAAGACGCCGCCATTACTAATTCCATTACTATAGTAATATTATAGAAAGTCTATTGAAAATCAAATAACTTTAATCTTAGCTGCTAATCGACGCCTTACACATGTGAGGTATGCTTCTGATTTTTGAAATCATCTTCTCCTTAGCGACTTCATACTAATACTTACATACCTACTAACCTGCCCATTAAATGCTTTTGTACTATAAAATAATCCCCTGCCGCTTGAAATATGAATGAATAATCAGAAGATCACTCTTCGTTCCCATAAACGACGAACTGCTTGGTATTATGTAGAAATAGCTAAATAATTTGAGTTTTACGTCGAACACCGCTGTTTCATTTCATCAGACAGGTCGTTCCGAGCACGAAGTTCGAACATTGATCACTACGTGTGCCATGTTTACAGGTAAATAGGTTACCCACTAATCTATGGCGGGATAATGTAGAAGCAGTTGACAATACTAAACACTCCTTCACACAAGAGAGTCGACACGGTCAGCAGAAAAAAACCGCTGAGCCTTTATCAATAACAAACTTGAATCGTGTTTTACTTTAAGTGCAGCAGTGGCAGCTTCACTCGATACTATTTCTCCGTGATTCCGATCTTCACTTGCAGCTAAACATCTAAAAAGAATATATTCTCGTAGTTTCCTGTGCTCCTGGATGATTCTTGTGGATACGATTGGACAGTCTTTGTGCGAATACATGGGCGTTTATCTATTGGCAGGTTCCAGAATTGATACCAGCATTTTTAGTAAATCTGAGGTACTAAACCGGTTTTCTGGATAATCAGTGGCTTCTCCCAGAAACGAATGTCTCAAATCATTCGTCATCGACAGGTTGAAAATATGGTAATCGGACCACCTTTACGAAAATTAACGTGCCACGCCCAATGATAAGAAGCGTCCTTTTCTACCTGCTGTAGATTAGATGCCTTATGAGCGCCTCGACTACGAGCTGCTTCTTAAGGGATGCTGAGCAAATTTTGACAGAGTATTTTCATATACTTTCTTTGTGAATGCTACCTACCGCAGACAGGACTAAACAGCTCACTTCGACGAGTGGACTTTTAAGCCTTCTGACAACTGCATCATAGACGTTCGGATGCAAAGGCACCGACCAGATCACAAAGCGAACTATGCAATTTCGGTTTTGAAAGGCGCAAGTAGATCTTCGTCCTAGTGGAGCAGTTTTCGAGATAGTCGGAAGAAAACGAGGTTCATGATAAAATTTCTCGTGGACAGATTTACTGTTTATCGCTTTTTGGCAAGGCAATCGCCAAAACGTCTAGCCATTACGTTTTAACAAAGCGATTTTATGCTTTAGTTAATTAGAATTAAAGACGATCTGTGGCAAATGGTTATAAGGTCAATTTTTTTTGGAACGTCAATTCCAATAGACGTGTACAGAAACACATATGTGTCGTTTGATTCCTGGCCTTAATATAACGTGTCACCGAATATTAATATTATATTATAAGAAGTATTAATATATATATAATTAATAATTAACACTTGTATTAGCAGAAAGTTTCGCCCTTAGAACGTTTTATTATTTCGAAGTACTTCCGGCACATGTTTCGAGATATAAGCGGTATGACCTGCGCCACGATCTGTTTACGAAATGTGCGCTATCCATTTAGCGTCATATGCGAAGTCGGCCAGCTTGATGAACCCTTCAACCGTTATACCGTTCGCAAGTAAAAACTTTAATTGCTATATATTATGACAGATTAATTTAATCTGTCAGTACAAGTACTTTGGTGATAGCAGCTAATATGACGCCGCTATTGTCTCCCTGTCCACAGTGCATATATGGGCCAAAAGCCGAGTATAATCTGTGTATTTGTTTACATAAAGTGGAGAGGTAGCACATTATCTGATTAGGCACATTTGGTGGAATAGACTCCAGATGAGAAACTTAACACGATTCTTATATATATACATATATATAAGGCGAAAAATCGCAGCGATACGTTCTGTCGTTGACAGAACGTAAATTGACGTTACGCTCTATCGATTGTTGTGAGGACGTTTTATATCGCTGTTTTTACAGATCCTGCACAAACGCGTCAAACTTGGCTGATAACTCGATGGACTACAGGTTACTGGTTTTATCAATCAAAACAAATGGGCGCAAAATTTATCAGCTCGTAAGTAAAGGCACTGTACGTCACCAAAAAGCGCAGTGCTTCGCTTAAACTCTAGAAGAGATCAAATATGCTGTGTCAAACAAGTTGTCATTTTTGTTTTCCAAAGATTTTCAGGTTTGGTGTCGAAAAGCCCGTCAATTTTTGGAACCTTCTTCACTATCAACTGTACCTCTACAAATTAGTCTGCTAATAATCTGAAAAAATTATCATCTGTCGGTGCAAGGCGTGAAGAAAATACTTCCACCAAAATTTTTGCGGGGTGGCATGAACGACCTTTGCCACCTGTGGTCTAGAGCTGTCATGAAAAAAGCGACTACCTTGAATTCGTGTTTCTTCTTTCTAGAAAGCTAATTTTATTATAAAATTAGCTTTAAATAATAAAAGAAAGATAATGTTAATTTAAAAAAAAAATAAGAAATAAATTAAAAAATGTTTCATATATTTAGGATGCCTCTAATTAGTTTGGAACCTTGCGTCCGGTATCACCTTCCATCAATTAAGTGGTGCATCAAGCGGTTGGCTCCCAGCACGAAAAGAAGTCTGTCTATGCCCGAGTTGGAAGCTAGACCAGGAAGTGTCCCCAGTATTGTCAGGCAAAATTATCACGGAAACACATTCAGGACGGTTGACGATACTTTATATCTATATTTTCTTACCCAGTTAACAGGCCGTTTGCCATCCGAGCTGCCTCCTCACATCGGATTTTAGACCGCGGTGAACACGGAGCTCCTTCAGATTCAAGATCCAATCTTTGTACTGAACAAACCCCTTCGAACAGTTCTTTACTATGTCTCCACTTTACAAAGCATCGTATTTTAGGTTGCTACGCCAGCTATTTGATAGGTGAAATAGAGTACAAAATGAAATTACTTTTATTTTCTACAAGGAACATCCACATATGTAACGTGAATTCGACGAAAAATCCCAGTCATTGTAAAATAAAAATAAGGTGGACCTATGAAGGAAACACAAGGCGCTTTCAAGTAGCATGTAGAGGTAAACGAACATTGGAAATACTAAAAGCAAAAGAAAAATTAAATTATTACTAGTTTTGGCAATGACACTTGTTTATACAGGAGGTTTACCTAGTTTATGAAAACGGCTTAGCATGAGCCTGTTGGCAAAGCCTTAATTATCCCTTGCAGGTTTTCCGAGAAACCTGAAGGAATCACAACCTGAAAGACGACCTCAACCGTCAAATCAAATCAGTCGTACAAGTCTTCCGGTAATAAGCAAGACTCCATTATATTAGCAGTTTAGAAGTGTAGGCAACCCTATAACCAGCTCCAGCGTATCGGTTATTACCATAATTATTATGACTATGCGCTTTAAGTCTTTCTGTTAAATTTGGTTAGACCTCACGCGTATATTTAGCTATCGACATCTTGAATTTCCCTCGATACCTCGGCCTCCCAGTAAATATCTCGTTGGAAAATCGCGAAGCCTATGCAAGGCAAGATCTTTTGCTCCTCGTAGAACACCGCATAGCAGCCGCTTGATCTAATCTGCAGTTGGTGGCTTGCTATCTTTTGCGCCAAAGTAATCGCAGTGTCGGGGTTTAGCAATTTTAGCCGAGTCAGGTAAATAAAATTCAATATATGTACATTACAAATGAAAGCGGAAAATGGTGATGTTGAAGAGGTGAAAGTGGCTGATTGATGCTGGTAACGTAATCCAATCGCGGGTCCTTGACAGCGGTGAAAGAGGTGCGGACAAACGTCCGCTGACCCGAGGATTCTTAACTTGGATCATCCATTTCGTACTTGTTTTTACTTCATTGACTGATTGATTGAATTATGAACATATCCTCAAAGGGACCTCGGCAAATGGATGCTTTACGCAATAGAAGAAGAATGTGATGATCATGCTGATTACGATAAGCAAGGTAGTTAGACAGTAATCGAATTCGTATATAGCCTATGATTATTTTCAAGAAAAAAAACAATAATGCGAATGTTTGAGACGTTTTGTATGTAACGATCAGTCAGTTGTCTATGATTGTTAAACACTGATTGTTATTACACAATGCCGTACTCGACGAGAGCTGGATGTAGCTAGGAACACGGTGTTCGATTTAAAGTACGCTGGGAGCGTAATAGTTAGTAATAACCACTAAATCCGATAAACTTGTGTTGGAAATCCGACAATTGAGAGTCGGCCTGATGTTGGGTCATGGTAAACCAAGTTAGCCAATAATCAAACCAGCCTGCGGTGTGTCTAGCAGTCCAGCAACGGTGCTTCTAATGATAAAGGGTACCAACAAATGCGTCATGTTTAGGCTCTTTATGCGGCAGGACAAAAGTATCCCTGCAACGGCACAGTGATAACGTTTTTACCTACTGAAGTTAACAATGATAAGAGCCATTCGTCAAAAGTAATGATCATCTTGAATTCGCAAACCGAGGCATATTTTTTTAGGTTCTATTAAAATATGGCCTGAGTGAGTATCTTATGGGCTCGTGGCCCAGGATTGTCAATGCAGACGTAAGCGAACAAGCAGAAGTTAATTGACAACCATGACATATTAATTCTACAGTGTTTTTGTATGTGTTGGTACGTACAGACGACCAAACCGGGTTAAGCTTGGGCGGTTTAGCTCATATAGAAATTTCGCAAACAAAAAGAAGGAAAGTTCACAAGAAAGCAAAGTTGATATACTGCGGTATTTTATTTTTAAGAATGGATAACAAACGTTACAATTACATGTCTAGTGAATATGCGAATTAACGCGAGACGATTCCCAGAAAACATGGCCAGCGTGAGTAATACCGCAGTATAGGTAGGCTTGTCAGTGCGTTAAAATAAGATGCAAAATACTGGAACCTCGAAAGTTCAAGCACTCCATGAATGTCAGAAGTTGTTATGCTATATTTTTTGCAGTTTTTTTACCGCTCATTTATTATCGCCCCATTCCAGCTGTGCCATTTTAAAGATTTTTTTAACTGCACGACCAAACAAACAAACAAACAAATGTGACAGCTGATACGTTCGATGGCGTGCACCAAACTATATTTCTAGCTACTATGTAATCACTCGTATCTTTATCTATTGTGACTACATCTTGTTGTGTCCTCAACGCCTTTAATTCTCACAGTTCATGCTTCCGTCTTATTGAACATGCCCCATCAAAGCGTTCCATTCAAAGATGGATTGCTCTTGCAAAGGAGATAGATGCATTGTTAGCAGGCGTCTCCGGAGCTAACAATGTGACCACACCGATGTCAACCCCACAGAGTCGTTCGTTTAGTCACTCAGCAGGGCATCAGGCTTCGGTGTTCCTCTAGGGTCTCGTTAACGATCGCTGCCAGTTTAGATAGCGGCACCAATAACATGAACGAACAAGGCATCAGCAACAAGCGATCTCTAACGATACCAGTAGGCTTTGCCCATCTCTACATTTGTCTCTTATTTGCTTCTTTCTAACTGGGGGCCAGATTACGTACAGCCTTTTAGTCAGTACAATTACATTTGCTCTGTTCTTCAACAATGACTTTCGTACCTTTCGAGGGTTTCTTTATTCCACCAGTCTTGTCCGCCAGACTGATCCTCCCAAGGGAAATACCCAGTATATATGATATATATATATATATATATATATATATATATCCAAAAGTACGAAATGCAACTATTTCAGTTGGCAAGCGTCTCCAACAAAGACAACCCTGACCGCCTCTTTGCGGTGCTTGTTTTTGGTTTCCTCTACGAAAGAGTTCGACTAGTGATCAGTTTCTATCTGCCTGATGGATTAAGCTGACGTCGAAAAGATCAGCGCAGGTAATGATCAATACGTGGTTAATAAAGCTTACATTGACAGTGGGAGTAAAGCTTCGACTGTCTTTATACAGTTGTCGCAATAATAGAAATAAAGGACCTGTTCCTATCTTCGATCATTTTTTTCATATAATACACACCGACAGCTGATACGAGCCGTGTCGGTCGTTTATGTACGTTTTCAGGAAGCTATAGCTACAATATAAGCTTGTTCTGCTCACAATTACAGGCTCCCGCTCAGTTGGACTGAGCTCGGTATAAGGACAATCATTCGCCTGGAAATATTATATGCAAACACTTGCGTATTGAGCTGTGTATAAATACATCTAGATCAAAACAAAAACATTCTGTGAATATGTTAATACAGGCTTTAATTATATTCACGTTGGATATAAATTCTCTCGCTTGGAGAAAAAGCTCAGGTACTACCTTTCATAATTATAAAAAAAGAAACGTATCGTGTATGTCGAATGTGATTCCCACGTATGTAACAGAGGGATAAAATAATTTTGAATGATTTACATTGTTTGTCTCTTTGGGCTTCGCGAGATACGCTATGGTAGCTACTGACACGAAAAAATGGAAGGCCAATATAAAGATTCACGTTCTGTTATTCTCGTGTACAGAGCGCTTATTAGAACCGCTTATATATATTTTCTTAGCTTAGGACGCGTTGCTATGTACACGCCAGGTTTGCTGTCAAGCTCTTAAGCGCCACCAGATGGAGTTCCACTGGGGAACGTAGTCTGAGTGGTTTGTTTACACCTTTAAGTGGATCGTCTTGGTAGCCATGACTAATAAGCATGCTACCGTATTGGTTCAAATCCCAGCATTAGAAAAATTAATAAGCTAAAATTTATAATTAAGAAAGTTAAAAAATTACTGATTCAATAGCTGTTCTAAAATTAATTAATAGATGCTTGTATGGCTATGATGCCGTCCCATGGGTTTTTGTGGGAAACTCAGATCCAAGACTAGCAAGACCCATCGTGGTTAGACTCTCAGCAGAAGCAAGCCGTTGATGATATGGACGTAAGAAGGATTTCGAGGATTTGTTCATACAAAAAAGATAGCATGATAGAAAATGACATGAAAAGGCCGACCTGCCGTACCCAAATCAGGGCACTTACAGCCTCTGCCAAAATGACACTGAAAAACATTTAGGCGGCCTACCAGTAAGCATCTAATTGTAGTTGGCAGGTCAAACCTAGTTCTCTGCTGGGGCAAGCATCGCAACTTTTCTTTACAGTTTACTTCACTAGACCCATCCTTCCGATTTTACTTCTGCTTAATATGTTTGCCGTTTATAACCTCATTTCTTCTCAATAGTCTCCTCAGGTACTTCAGGAATCCACCGCTCTTATACTACAAAAAAAGTCGAAACGATTCCAAGTTCGAACGTGACGTCCAACATTGTAGACTTTCCTAACCGGCCATCTTGTAAGCCTTAAATATATGAATTGTTTAAACTTCCGGTTTCCAGGCAAAAGTTTCTTTCTAGACCTGCAAGTTTTGATGGAAGCCGCCTACAATCTCACTTCTTCGTTATAAGCCCACATGAAATTATTTTAATACGAACCTTCATGTTGGAGCTATGTAGATCCCTAAAGAGTCTCACATCACTTTCACACGACAACAACAATATTAACTATAGTAGCAGAAGCAGCAACTGTCCCTGCGAAGGTACCCAGGCGGAAGAGATTGAACAAAAGCTAGAACAGGTGTTTTCTCTGTCACGCAAACCATCTGGGATCTCGCCGACTGGATCAAGCTAGTAGGTAAGCCCGACCGACCTGAAGCACACGAGGATAGTGGAAATGGCTGGCAACCTGAGACAAAGGCGGGTGGCTACAAAACTGAAGTCCTGTCTAACTCGAAACCATGTTGTTTCCGCCGTTAGGAAATAGTGGGTCCTGAATGACGGCTCAAGGGAGACGGCCATGGATAACCGTAACAAATCTAACGAAAAGCACTGGGTTAGCTGACATTTTAAAATAGACGCATTTCCAGCTATTCAAAAGGCCCATGCACGCCATCTTGCTATCATATGATAATGCATAA